CCAGGAGTGGTGAGCCACTGAGGGCAACGCGGCGACGGCGTGGAACAGCGAGTTTCCTTGAAGGAGAAACCCTCGCTCAGCTCCCACCCCCCCCCCCCCCCCGTTGCGTTGACCGCAGCTGCGCCGGGGATTGAGTAACGTTACGTGAACGATAAACACCGAGTTACGTTTAACGTTTGGGTCGACCCGGTGTGTAAATGGATATCTGTGTACATTATTAAAATCCTAAAGTATCTTATCCTGTCATGACTATGACAGGTCTTGAGTTGATGCGCCTGCATTTCTATTCTAAACGCTGTAAATCCTATATCGCTTTGTTTTCTCAAGCTGCCTTCATTCTCATCGTGAATTTCTCAGCGTCGAGGCGGCAGCTGCGATTGCAGCTGTTCGACGGGGTGGGTGAGATCTTGACATCGGGATGCGGTCAAATCGTAGAGGGCTCAGATTGAGGGCTACTGAAGATTGACTCCCTGTTTCTCAGTGACGGCTTCTCCCGATGAACTCGACCTTTCCCAGGGGATTACCGTGCGCTGAGTCAGCGTTCCGGCATGGGCCACGGGGCTGAGCAGCGTGGCCCCGTGGTGCGCGCTGGCCCGGCCGTGTTCTTGCCGCGTCCTTCACTGCCTCCTGCCTCAAGGCCGTGATGTACAAGGAACAATTTCCGGTGGCAATCGTATGTGGCAATGGTTGCCAAGCCGCCCTCCATCGCAAAACAATCTTAAGTTTCCCAAATCTGGAAAAATTCAATCTTCTGCTCTCCCCTAGTGGGCAGGTGGTATGGCATGTTTTTTTGCAGTCGGAGAAAGCGATGTTGCTGCTGTGCGTGATATCATATGAGTAACAATGAAAATGTTTTGCCGGTATTCAAGATACTATTATTTTTCTACCGACTACGTGACTTTACTGAAAGAACCAAAGAGTAAGACTTTCCCCTTTGTCATAAATCATTTAATCGCCAAATGAATAAGTTGAAAGCAAATTTTTAGCAATGGGTTCTTGGGCAAATACCAGTTACATTGCATGCTTTTTTTATTAACTACTCGCGGGAAGTACCTGGCATTGCCCCGGGGGGAAAATATATTTTAAAAATGTCTTCAAAACATGACATATATGTACACAAATAGAAAGCTATTGTGAAAGCCGGGCTTGCCGTTTGTCTGTTCATTTGTCCGTTAACAAAATTAAAAAATATATTTTTACCCCCCCGTAGACATAAATACCTACACACCCTATATACAATAGAGTGAGTAGTATCTAGTGACTCTGTGGTAGTATCTGGCTCTATAGTAGTATCTGGCTCTACAGTAGTATCTGCTGACTCTGTAGTTATATCTACTGACTGTACGGTAGTTATCTACTGAACGCAGTAGTAGCTACCGACTGTATAGTAGTTACTACTGACTGTAGTAGTTAAAATTGACTGTAGTAGTATCTACTAACCTTACAGTAGTATCTACTGACCCTACAGTAGTATCTACTGACCCTACAGTAGTATCTACTGACTCTATAGTTGTAACTACTAACTCTATAGTATTATTTGGTTCTTTCGGTAAAGTCACGTAGATAGAAAAATAAAGATTAAAATGAAGTAAATAAAAATAGTCAATGAAACAAAAACCACGACTATTCGAGCACAGCACAAGCGATCGTCTTCAGGAGGAAAGAGATGATCGCTTGTGTTGTGATCGAAACGTTGTGGTTTTTGTTTTATTTATATTTTTTATTCACTTTATTTTTATTTATCTATCTACATGACTTTACCGAACGAACCAAAGTTGTTTAACTCTATTGCAGTATCTGCTGACTCTATAGCAGTATCTATTGACTCTATAGTTGTATCTACTAACTGCAGCAGTATATACTGAATGTAGTGGAATCTACTAACTGTAGTGTTATCTACTGACTATAGTAGTATCTATCAACTCTATGGTAGTATAAACCAACTCTATAGTAGTAACTACTGGCTCTGCAGTAGTATCAAATTACTATAGTAGTGCCAACTGAATCTATAGTAGAATTTATTGACTGTATAGTAGTATCAACTGACAGTAGTAACTATTAACTTTATTTTAGTATCTGCTGTCTATAGCAGTATCTGCTGACACTATATCAGTAATCACACTCACACCCATCGACTCAGACACACACACATCGACTTACACACACAAACACATGGACTCTGATACACACACATTGACTCACACACATCACACACACACACATCGACTCGCACACACACATGGACTTACGCACACACTTCGACTTACGCACACACTTCGACTTACACATACACATCGACACACACGCACATCAAAACACACACACGCATATGGACTTACACACACATGGACAAACATATATCGACTCACGCACATCGACTCTCATGCACAGACACATTGACTGACACATACACATCGACTGACACACACACATCGACTGACACACACACATCGACTTAGACACACACATCCACTAACGCACATCCACTAACGCACACACACATCGACTTACACACACAGTGACTTAGACACACATACACATGCACTTATGCACACATGGACTTACACATACACACATGGACTGACACATACACACATGGACTTACACACATCGACCCACACACACATCGACTCAACATCGACTCACACACACACATCGACTCCCACACACACACATCGACCCACACACACACATCGACTCACACACACACACATGGACTTAGACACATTATTATTTTTTCATTTACTAATATAATTTGTAAATGTTAGTTGTCTACACACACCACACACACACATCGACTCACACACACACACACACATCGACTGATACACACATCGACTGACACACATGGGGAAACACACGCACTAACATCGTCGCAGATACGCACATGGACTCACATGTACACAAGGACTTGGACACAATACTAATTAATAATAAACAATAATAAATATGATTGCTAAGCCAGAATCCATCTTCTCGGTTGAAATTGTCTCTGTGTTTGTATATGTGGATAGCCTCATGAACGAATCTCTCATGGTAGCCAGATGGCTTGCAAAGAACCTCTGTCTTGGAGAAGTCAATGTCATGTGAACCCACTGAATTATAACAGTGATCTGCCACGGCCGAGGTGTTGGTCCTACCGTGTTTTAGGTCTCCTTTGTGTTCACGAATGCGGTCCGAGACATGTCGTTTGGTTTCTCCAATGTATCTACTACCATTCATGAACACAAAGGAGACCTAAAACACGGTAGGACCAACACCTCCGCCGTGGCAGATCACTGTTATTATTCAGTGGGTTCACATGACATTGACATCTCCAAGACAGAGGTTCTTTGCAAGCCATCTGGCTACCATGAGAGATTCGTTCATGAGGCTATCCACATATACAAACACAGAGACAATTTCAACCGAGAAGATGGATTCTGGCTTAGCAATCATTGGAAGGATTTGATAAACCATTTCGGGTCTTAATTGATTGTTCACGCTTATGGTGGCTTTCAGACCGCATCCATTATTTTCGTTTCCCCCCTCCTATTTTCCGAACATAGATGGACTCGTCCATCTGAATAACTGCCAAATCGCTCTCCGTGGTGCTAACGTTAAAAAAACCCGCCACTTTTTTCAAATTTTCTTGCTGTGGTTTTCACACCCGATGATGATTGCTTGTGTTGCAGTCGAAACGTCGTGAGATTTTTATTGTTTTATATTTTTCTTATTTTATTGTTTCCCTTCTACGTGACTTTACCGAAAGAACCAAGAATATGAATCCCTGCAGTCACGAAAGGTTTAAATAAAATAATAAATATATTAATATTAACCAAGTAAATTTTGAAATATTAGTTGTCAGCACACAAACATTAATATTTTAATATTTCCAAGGTGATTATTAAAATAATAGGTTTCTATGTACGTGAGTTTAGCGAAAGAAGCAAGAAATATAAATATTAGTTTTCTGCACACAAACACAATAAATGTAATAATTGCAAAGTGATTATTTAAATAATAGGTTTCTATCTACGTGAGTTTAGCGAAAGAAGCAAGAAAATAGTACTTAACATTGTCATGGTGAGGCCTAGTCCCGCGCAGAGCCCCCGGCCTCACCTAGATTGCCCAGCCGGCCGAGGTGGCACCTTGGCAGGCTGGGGGCTGGGCCGCTACCCCCCCCCCCCGCACCCATGATCCCCCCCGCCCGCTCTACAGTCATATATATGGCCTATAGTCGTAGCATCTACCGACTGTATAGTGATAACTGCACACATTGGGGTGGTGGGGGGGGAGAAGAGGACATCACACTGTGAAGAATTTACCTCCGCGTTTTGTGTATTTTTTTAAATTTTTTACGCTAATGAAAATGTTTCCCCATCGTGTGTGCATTGCTAGGTGCAACCCCTGTCAGTGTTTCGCGCATGCGAAAATTCGTGCTGTGTCGCGCTCTGAGCGGCGTAAGAAATAATTAAGTATTAAAAATATTGCACTAAATTGTTAATTTAACTACTTTTAAGTTTACGGATGGGAAAACGGAATAGCGCTGGCTCACCACGGGGCATACGACGTGGTACCCGGCTACTTTTTTTTACATGTAAACCCCACGGTTTGCGAGCCAAATCCTTCGCAAGTGCGCGTCCAAAGACAGACGGACAGACAGACAAAAAATTACGTTCATAGGTAAGATGGGGTGAAACTGGAGAACCTGCAGAAAACAGGGGGAGAGAACGTACAAACTCCACGAAGAAAGTGTACCCGAGTCGGGAATTTAACCCAGGCCACTTGTTGCGAGGCGCAAGCATTGCTGCTGCGCTGCCGCCCGAAAGAGCTGAAGGCGCAAATGAGACTGACACGGATCATTTAAATTTGCCGTTCCATCTCTTTTTTTTTTTTTAAACGTGGACCCGTTCTCCGCGCGCGGGCGGGCACGGTGGAGCAGCGGTTTCCCGTCACCGGCGACTGACACCGCCGCCACCATTCCTCCTCCCTCTGCCATTCCCCCCCGACGCTCGTAGCCATGTTTGCCGCCCTGGAGCAGTCCCCAGTGCTCTACAGCGACTCGAACCTGCTGTGCGCATCATGGAAGGGTCGCGTGCCGCACAGCGAGCGAGAGCGGCCCGTGTGCCGGCGCCGATGCTACCAGGAAGGCTGGCTCGCGCTGGGCAATGCGCACGGTGTGGTGGGCGTCACCTTCTGCAGCTCTCACTGCCGGCGCGAGCGTCCCACCCCGCAGCGCGTCAACTTCAACCTGCGAGGCCACAACAGCGAGGTGAGCAGCGGCGGAGACCACGCTCGCCGTCGACCGGCGTGCTCACTGGCACGCTCACCGGCACCTTCACGGCCAAACCACAGCCACACAGCGCGCTTATCTACACCCTCATCAGCACCTTGACCCGGCACAGACGCCCACACCAGCACACTCAAGACCACTAGCACAGTCACGCTGCAACCACGCAACGCGCTCACCCACAACTTCACCAATAGCCTCACTAGCACCCACACCCTTACTATTGAGTGTGCTTAGTGTGCGTATGGTTTGTGTGGTGTGCGTGTGTATGTATGTGCGTGTGTGCATGTCTGTACATGTATGCGCGTGCATGTGTGTGCATGTGCTGCTGCTCAACCTGGAGTGTGCCACTAAGAAGTGGGATCTTACCATCAGCCCCACCAAAACTAAGCACTTGGCTGTGTATTTTATGCTATCAAATGCTCCACCCCCTCAACTCCCCAGTTGGTCATGGAGCAGTTGGGGAGAGAGTGGAGAGTTTTCCATTCCTGGGCAGTGTGTTTACGACCAGATACGGTTTGACAGCAGAGGTCTCACTCCGAATCAGTTGGGCGGCGTGGAAACTACATGGTCTGTAGCTTCACACAAAGCTTTGGGTCTTCTCAACCACAGTCATGCCCTCCCTTCTCTATGCTTGCGAAACTTGGACCTCTAATTGAACATCTGTGCCGGTTAGAAACAGTGAGGAGCTCAAAATCCTTGTTGTGCATGTACACATGTGCAGTTGTGCGTGTACACATGTGCATTTGTATGTGTACATGTGCATACGTGTGTACCTGTGTGTGTGCATGCGTGCATATGCGTGCGCAGGTTGTGCTTGTGCGCTGGAACGAGCCATACCAGAAGCTGGCGACATGCGACGCGGATGGAGGCATCTTCGTGTGGATCCTGTATGAGGGGCGCTGGTCTGTCGAGCTCGTGAATGACCGCGGGGCCCAGGTGCACCCTCGGCTACCCCTGAGTGACCCTCACAGCTCCTCATGCTACCCCTGAGTGACCCTCACAGCTCCTCATGCTACCCCTGAGTGACCCTCACAGCTCCTCATGCTACCCCTGAGTGACCCTCACAGCTCCTCATGCTACCCCTGAGTGACCCTCACAGCTCCTCATGCTACCCCTGAGTGACCCTCACAGCTCCTCATGCTACCCCTGAGTGACCCCCACAGCTCCTCATGCTACCCCTGAGTGACCCTCACAGCTCCTCATGCTACCCCTGAGTGACCCTCACAGCTCCTCATGCTACCCCTGAGTGACCCCCACAGCTCCTCATGCTACCCACACCTCCGATTAGCAGAGTTGGCTACGTATGGTGTGAAAGAAGAGTTCAACATACATATATACATACCCCTGGATGACAGTCGTTTGCAGGTCAGCGGGAGTGATACATTCGTCTGCTGCGCTGCCATATAACGGTTCAGTATTTTTGGCAATGGATTTTGGCAATGGCTATTGGCTTGGTCCACCAATGCATATTAACTTTCTAAAGGTGGTTCTTGCTGAGACTTCACGTTGCTATCAGCCACATGAAACAAGTTCGGACCTGGGCACGTTTTTCTACATGATCGCCGGCACGCGACTCAAACTGTGATGGCGTGTCAGGCTCCATTCAGTAGCGGGGCACGGTGGAAGCCGTGTTGTGCGCCTTTAACACAGACACCCCCCTTTCCCCTACCCTGGAATTCCGGCTTGTGTAAATTTTGGCCATGCTCCTCATCGTGTGAGACTTGTCACCACCGCCGCCCTCCTCTTTGGGTGGCTGGGTGGTTTAGCGGAGCGGTGGTAACGCTCGCGCCTAGCAGCAAGAAGCCTCTGGGTTCGATTCCCAACTTGTGCGCCTCTATGCGTGGAGTTTTTTTATGTTCTACTCCCCCTGTTCTGCACAGTGTGTGAGAGTGTGAGTGAGTAGGGTTTGTAAGTTCTCCTCCCAATGTTCTGCACGGTGTGTGAGAGTGTGAGTGCGTAGGGTTTGTAAGTTCTCCTCCCCCTGTTCTGCACCGTGTAAGAATGTGAGGGAGTAGGGTTTGGAAGTTCTCCACATCTTCTGCAGGGTGTGAGAGTGTGAGTGGGGTTTGTAAGTTATACTCCCCATGTTCTGCAGGGTGTGTAAGAGTGTGAGTGAGCAGGCTAATGGTTACTCCGACTATACAATCCGCAAAGCTATCACTCAAACTATGAAGAAGAACCCTCTTGAGGAGCCTTTCAAAACCATCACTTTACCCTACATTGCGGGGATCACAAAAGATCTCCAAAATCTTGAATAAACACAAGATCCAGGTCCGTTTCAACACATTACATAAAATCCGTGATCTGGTTCCGTCTGTAAAAGATGTGATTCCGGACATACAGTACCCTGGTGTCTACAAACTAAGTTGCCTCTGTGGTAGTAGTTACATTGGAGAAACCAAACGCCATGTCTCGGACCGTATTCGTGAACACAAAGCAGACCTTAAACACGGTAGGACCAACACCTCGGCCGTGGCAGATCATTGTTATAATTCAGTAGGCTCACATGACATTGACTTCTCCAAGACAGAGGTTCTTTGTAAGCCATCTGGCTACCATGAGAGATTCGTTCATGAGGCTATCCACATATACAAGCACAGAGACAATTTCAACCGAGAAGATGTATTCTGGCTTTGCAATCATTGGAAGGATTTGATAAACCATTTCAGGTCTTAATTGATTGTTCACGCTTACGGTGGCTTTCAGACAGCATACATTAATTTTTCGTCTCCCCCCTCCTCTTTTCAGAACATAGATGGACTCGTCCTTCTAAATAAACTTCCAAATCGCTGCCCGTGGTGCTAACGGTTTTTTATAAATATAAAAACACCGCCCAAAAATAAATAGATGCGAACCCACACTTCTTTCAAATGTTTCTTGCAGTTGGTTTTTCACACCTGATGATGACCGTTTGTGTTATGGTCAAAACGTCGTGAGAATTTTTATTGTTTTATATATATTTTATTATTTTATTGTTTCCCTTCAACGTGACTTTACCGAAAGAGCTAAGAATATGAGCAGGGTTTGTAAGTTCTACTCCCCATGTTCTGCACGGTGTGAGAGAGTGTGAGTAGGGTTTGTAAGTTCTACTCCCCATGTTCTGCACGGTGTGTAAGAGTGTGAGTAGGGTTTGTAAGTTATACTCCCCCTGTTCTACAGGGTGTGACAGAGTGTGAGTGGGGTTTGTAAGTTCTACTCCCCATGTTCTACAGAGTGTGAGAGAGTGAGTGAGTGGGGTTTGTAAGTTCTCCTCCCCCTGTTCTGCACGGTGTGTAAGAGTGTGAGTAGGGTTTGTAAGTTCTACTCCCCATGTTCTGCACGGTGTGAGAGAGTGTGAGTGAGTGGGGTTTGTAAGTTCTCCTCCCCCTGTTCTGCACGGTGTGTAAGAGTGTGAGTGCGTAGGGTTTGTAAGTTATACTCCCCATGTTCTGCACGGTGTGAGAGAGTGTGAGTGAGTGGGGTTTGTAAGTTATACTCCCCATGTTCTGCACGGTGTGTAAGAGTGTGAGCAGGGTTTGTAAGTTATACTCCCCCTGTTCTGCAGGGTGTGCGAGTGAGTTGGGTTTGTAAGTTATACTCCGTCCTGTACTGCAGGGTGTGCGAGTGAGTTGGGTTTGTAAGTTATACTCCCCCTGTTCTGCATGGGTTTGCTCCGGGTTCTTTAAGTTTCCTCCCATAGCTAAACGCGCATGTGTGACGTAACTGGTATTGCCCAAAATATCGCAATGCTGAAAAAATGACCTGCACATTACTCCCATTAGGATTACATACAGCAGCGACATCGCCCCCCCATACTGTGAAAACTTGGCAGGACCCTCCTGAAAAAGAGTCTTGGGACTCGGCAGGCACTTACTACTCATAATAAAATTTATCATTATTGACAAACGTACAACCCACTGCATATTTTTCTCATCAGGCCAAGGATAAGCGGAAAAGAACAACAGTGCTTATCTGCGACGTTTGACTCATGCCACCCACACCAACTCCACCACAGAGAGGGAGCACGGGGTGCTGCACTGCGTGCGATTGGTGCGGGTGCGTGGGTGACAGCGTGGGATTCATGCCGCAAGAACATCCTGTCCCGATTAAATATTCACATAACCTTAGTTAGCTTGCGATTGGCGGGGTTAATTTTGGGCCACAATAGTCTGCCGTGGATTTTTCGAATGTCTGATAACAGCTGATAAGGTACTCCGCCGGTGCAGGTTCTGATGCGAAACACGCAGGCTGTTCAATTTAATTTCTACTGTTGATGGGGGCAAGCCTCATCACCCCGCGCGTAAAGGAATGACCGCAGAAGCGGATTGTGCAAGAGCTTCGTCCGAGATACCTGTCAAGTGACGTGTGTTATCCACACACCTATGCACGTGGCTCACTTTGGAAGCAATGTTTTGTCACATGACGGTGTGGCAAAGCATTGCCACAAAAAAACCCTGCAGATGTCACGTGATGGGCGGTTACTTTGCGCGGCTATTCATGATGGAGCGAAGACTGTCAGCTCACTCCGCTTGAGAACCCGGGTTTCATCACAGGCACCTCCTATTAGCATAATTGGCTGTGTACGGCACGAAAGAAGTTGAACATATATACATACAAATGGCAGAAATCCATATCAAATCCAGGCCCTCACCGGCTCAGAGCTCTGACTCACGAGCCACCTAGCGGGCGCCTCTTAGCCCCTGTGAGGGAAGTGCAGTGGGTTTAGAGCGGAGCACCGGTCACCGCATGAGAGAGGGTTTCTGGTGTCACTGTTGTTGGCGTGCTTACTGTGTGTGTGTGCTTTGGCCAACCTTGTGTGTGGTACATCTGCGTGTGGTGTTTGTGGGGTGCGTGGTGCACACTGGGCCGGTGCCAGGTGAGCGACTTCACATGGAGTCACGACGGCACGCAGGCGCTCATCTCGTACCGCGACGGCTTCGTGCTCGTGGGCTCCGTGAGCGGCCAGCGCCACTGGTCCTCGGAGATCAGCCTGGATGACAGCCACATCCTGTGCGGGGTGTGGACCCCCGACGACCAACAGGTGTGCATCCACCTCCGAGCACCCAGCTCCGAGCATTGCATCGTGTGTACACGTGCCGCGTCCCGTGTGCGCGTCACCTCCAGCGTGTGCTCTGCCGTTGTGCTGTCGTTGGCTGCGGCGCATGCAGGTGCTATTTGGGACGTCAGACGGGCAGGTGATTGCCATGGACTGCCATGGGCGCATGTTGGCGCAGGTGGTGCTGCACGAGTTTGACAGCGTTCAGGCACTCACCTGGAACTGCCCGGACTTCCTGGTGGAGGACTCAAGCGAGAGCGAGTCCGACGGGGACGAGGGCACCACGCTCGCTCAGGGCACGCGCACACGCGCACACTCACGCGCACACTCACGCGCACACTCACACACACGCATGCACAGACGTGCACACTTACGCACGCACGCACACACTCATGCATGTACACCACGCACAACAACAACCGCCATTCGCCACTAAGTGGCGGTGACGTCACCACGACGCTTGTGCCAGGTTATGTGCACCCTGAGGCCACGTGAAGTGTCGAACGCCCGCTGGCAGGAGGTCACCGGGCAAACTCAGGTGCCACGGGTCGACTGACTGAGATGACTGGCTGATGCACCACCTGTGTCCCCTACTGTGCCAACCTGCTGTGCTTTAGCCACCCGGCGCTCCGCTCGTTGTTGTGAGCGTCGCACCTCCGCCCTCCGTTGTTGTTGGAGGGCGACTGCCTCCAACTGCCCAGTAGCATCCTTCACGAGCCTCCTCCACAGAGGCCGATCTTGACACCGCTGGTACCAGTCATCGGCAAGTCCACTCAGCTCCACGTCCTTCTGTACCACATCACTCCATCGTTGATCTTGCCTGTGGTGCGCCTGTTTAGCCCCATATATCCGGTTGAACAGAAGCCGCTTGGGCATGCGGTGGCTGGGCATGCCGGCTACATGACCAAGATAACACAGCCTTGCCTGCTGGAGGAGCTCACCAATGAGATTTTGTCCAGATCTTTCAAGGATTTGTGAGCTCCTCACACAATGCAGCCTAGTTAAACCTAGGCTAGATCGTAGGCAGGCAAGCTTAAATGTTTCTAACCAGTAAAGATGTTCCATTTCGGGGGTCCACATTTCGCAAGCATAGAAAGGTATAGCATGACCGTGGCCAAGAAGACCCAAAGCTTTGTGTGGAGCAACAGATCGGGTAGCTTCCACACAGCATTACGCTGCTAATGAAAATATAATGCTGCCTGACTGATTTAAACTGGCTTGGTCATAAGCACACTGCTCCAGTATGGAAAATGGTCCACTCTCTCCACAACTGCTCGATCACCAATGGGGAGTTGAGGGGGTGGAGTGTTTGATGGCACAAAATACCCAGGCAGGAGTTTACTTTTGGTGGGGCTGATGATAAGGCGTCACCTCTTTAGTGACACTCTCCAGATTCATCAGCAGTGCCTCTGACTCCTCCTTTGAGTGAGCAGCAATTACCAGATCATCAGCATACATAACATGGTTGACCAATAGGGAGCCATCCCTTGACTGCACCCGGGCATCAGCCTCCCATTGTATCTGTACCAGATGGAAATTCCTCCGGTACAGCCACAGAAGGCTTGACCAACTATGTGTCGAAAAATATGTTAAATAATGTGGAACCCAGAGGACATCTCTGTCCCACCCCAAGGTGAACAGGGAATGGCTGTGACTCCCGGCCCCAGAGTTTTACCTGGGCCTGCCCACCATCATGAAGGTCCTTAATGATTGTGAGCAGAGTCAGGACTCCGAAAGCACGAAGAACAACCAAGATCCCAGGCCTATTGATGGTATTATAGGGCTTGACGAGATCAATAAAGCAGAGATGCAGGTCTTGTTGGAATTCCCTGCACCTCTGCTGTAGCAGATGGTCAGAAAATATGGTATCTGTGCAGGACCTCCCTGGCCTGAAACCACATTGGGGCTCCACAAGCCTCTCCTCAGCATGCCTGGCAAGGCGATGTTGAATATTCCTTGCCAGGACCTTCCCTGCACACTGAGGGAGATGCCCCTGTCGTTGTTACAGTCTATGCAGTCCCCCTTCTTAAAGAGGGGGTCCAACAGGGCATACATGGACACACTCACACTTGCACACACTACATCTGTGTTTTCCTGTTTCTCCCCATGTCCATGTGTCCTCATGACTTTGTGTGGTCTGTTTGTGCCTGTATTGACTTTGCAATGTTTCCCCGTGTCTCCCTGTCTCCTCCCTTCTCTCCGCATCTCGCTGCATCTTGCCACGTGTCCCCCCGTGTGTCCACCGTGTCTCTCCGTGTCTCCCCCATGTCTCACCCGCATCTCGCCGCGTATCCAACCAGACGGGCCATCGGGCGAGTGGAGCGCCCCCCTGCAGGGCCCACGCACACTGCTCACCGTCATGTTCGGCTCGGGTGACGTGGGCCTCATGAACAACTATGACGACATGACGCCCACACTCGTCAAGACCGCCCTCAAAGGTGTGGCACATTCTCTGTGCGGGGTTTTCTTCTGCGAGCCTTGGGGTGTGACAGAAGCACCGTGGAAATAAAAGGTGGCCTGGTGCGTTGCTAGCCACACCACCCTCCCGTGCCCCCTTTTGGCCTTCATGAAAACTAAACTTTGCTAAAACTATTTATATTTTACCAAGTAAGGCCCACTTAGCTGTATAGCTTTTTCAGAAGCGACCTGGCCATGATAGCTCAAGGAAGTGGCTTATCGTATGTCATTTTAAAGCAACCAAATACTGTTAAACTCACGTTGATTCTAAATGTGGAGGGAAAAACCGGATGACCCGGAGAAAATCCACATGACCACGGGGAGAACATACAAACAAATATACAGGAGGCGTCAGGGTTTGGATCGAACCCACGACCTCCTGCATACCAGGCGAGGTCGTCAACATCTTGGCCACCGTGGTGCCTATTAAGTGCGCCAAGTGGCCCATGAGTTTCGGTGGGATCCACACGCGCGCGTGTGTGCGCGCGTGTGTGCGCGCGTGTGTGCGTGTGTGTGTGTGTGTGTGCGTGCACGCGTGTGTGTGCGCGTGTGTGTGCGCGTGTGCTTGCGTGTAGACGTGACGGCGCAGTGGAACTCGGCGGGGGACATCCTGGCCGTGGCCGGGCAGGAGAAGCAGCCCAGCCAGGGGCTCCCCGCCGAGCCGCCGGGGCTCTTCTCGCTCTCACGGAGCCACGCCGTCAAGTTCTACAATGCGGCTGGGTTCCTCATCTACACGTTGGACGTGGCCACGCAGGTGCCTCCCTACCACCACCACCGTCATCTTATCTATGTTATAAATGAATTCCTACATTATATTTATTTGAATACATGCATATAAATCCTGTATCGATGACAAACCCTGGCCCAGGGTGGCAGCGTGGTGGTGGGCAAGGCGCAGTGCAGTAGAAACGCTCGTGCCTTGTCTGGGTTCAATTCCTGACTCGGGCATCTTGTGGCGTTTCTATGTTCTCTCCCTCTGTTCTGCATGGTGTGTGACAGTGTGAGTGAGTGGCGTTTGTATGTTCTCTCTCCCCCTGTTCTGCATGGGTTTCCTCCCATAGCTAAAAACACACGCAATGTTACTGGTATTGGCCAAACATCCTGATATTGAAAATGTACTGCAAATTACTCAATTTGGACTTCACGTAGCAGCAACGTCGCCCCCTCCCCTACTGCGAAACTACAGCTGGCTGTACCTGTGAAGCACAGCAGCGCCTTTCCGCGTGACGATCGCCCGTGCTGCGCCATAGGAACGACAGCATCAGCACCTCCGCGTACTCTATTACCATTCACCCAAACGTCTCCGTCTCATCTCGTCCCCCCGTCCCTGGCGCCCAGCACCCCATTTCGTCTCTGTGCTGGGGCCACCGCGACACGCGCCTCTTCGTGACGGCGGGGCCGGCGCTGCAGGTGGCGCGCGTGGAGGTGGGCGTCGCCACGCTGCAGCTGCTGTGCCAGCAGGTGCTGGCGGCCGCCCTGCGTGACGATAAGGCCGTCGCCAAGTTGGCGCTGCCGTCGCGCCTCGCCGGGTACCTGCTCTCCGCCTTCACGCCCACCATCAAGGTAATTGCGCGCCGTGCAATCCCCCCCGAACGGACGCTTGGGGGCGGGGCAATCGCTGCGAGCGAGCGGCAATGGAAGCCGGTGCGGCGCACGAGGAGGTGGCCATTGTCACACCCGGCCCCAACCCCCTTGTCCCCCCCAGTGCTGGTGTTTTTGGCGCGCTTCGCCGGGGTCCTCGCCTGTACATCGCTGCGGGCGAGTGCTGGGACGAACAGCCCAATTGACACTCGTGTAGCTGCCACATGGGCAGAGTGCCACGGTGGCTTGGAGATGTTAACTGCCTCGTCTGGTATGCAGGAGGTCGTGGGTTTAATCCCAATTCTGACGCCTGTATATTTGTCTTTCTCTCCTCATGATCGTGTGGATTTTTCTCTGGGTCCTCTGGTTTTCCCCTCCACATTTAGAATCAACGTCACGTGTTCAGAGTATTTGACTGCGATAAATTTCCACGTGATGATAAGCCACTTCGTGGCCAGGTCACTTCTGAAAAGAACCGTTTTGCTCAGTGGGGCCTTACCTGGTTTGTGAGCCAGCCTGGACAATGATTGGGCACGGACAACGCTCCATCACCTTTCACACAGACACCCGAGCGCTCACCCAGACACCCAAGCGCTCATCCAGGCACCCGAGCGCTCACCCAGGCACCCAAGCGCTCCCTGCCAGCCGCTGCCAAGTGCGGGTTGTAATGGTGCCACGATGCAGGGAAAGTGTCATTTGGCCGAGACTTGAAGGTGGCCTAGCGCCCTCTGCTGGACGCTCGGCCCTCTCGTCCACGCCAGTAACGTTGCCAACTTGGTGAGCGTGGGCCCAGTGTAGACGCGTTGGAGCCATGTGCCTTTAAGCCTCAAGGATGACCACTGCTGTACAAAGAACTAACTTGGGCCACTGTTGCCACATGAGGGGTGGAACACCGAGCTCCCGCCTCACTGCACTCCGTAGAGTTCACCGTAGAGCGGTCGGGGTGATTGATGATCCAGCAGCCGCCGATTCACTCCAGACTCTTGCTCACCAGTGGTTAGTCGCCTCCTCGTCACGCTTCTATCGCTAGCGTTATGGTTACCGTTCCCCTGAACTTCACTCGTCGATTCATTCACCCATAGTGTTTTGCAGGTCGCAACACCCCCACTCACCCACTCACTCACCCTCTCACCACACTGCAGGTCACAACAACACCTCCACTCACCCGTTCACTCACCCACTCACCACACTGCAGGTCACAACAACACCCCCACTCACCCACTCACCACACTGCAGGTCACAACAACACTCGCACTCACCCACTCACCTGCTCACTCACTCTCTCACTACAATGCAGGTCATAACAATGCCCTGACTCACCCACTCACTCACCAACTCACTAACTCACTCACTCAACAACCACTTGTCCACCTGCTCACCCACTCACTCACCCTCTCACCACACTGCAAGTCACATCAATTATCTTTCTGCATCTTCCCTTGCACTGTTCCACATTCGGAATCACCTCTACCCATCATCTCTATCACTTTCCCCAAGCTCTTAATAATAATTTACATTTGTAAGGGGCGTTTCATCCAAGGATCCCAACAACCTCGCTCTATTCAAGAAACGCCGTTGCACCCTCATGCTTGGCACGACTTGAATCCAGCGGCGCGTTTCGCCATCTCAGCCCCCGATCCCAGACCCCAGCAACCTACGTGACTTTGTGAGCTACCCGCCGGGTGGCAAGGAGCGCCTGCACTGCACGATCCGCCGTGTGGACGAAGACCCCGAGGGCGGTGGACCCTCCTACGTGCTCTTCCTGGAGCACCTGGGCGGCCTCGTGCCCATCCTCAAGGGCCGACGCGTCAGCAAGCTGCGGCCCGAGTTTGTCATACTCGACCCCAAGACCGACGGGCGGCTCGGTGCGGGCAGGGAGACTCGGGGGACGGAGGGGAGACACGGGGAGGGAGACATGAGGGAAGGGGGCCCTGAGTGTGGGGAGGCAGACACGGGGAGGGACACGCGGGCAGGGAGACGTGGGGAGGGAGACATGGGAGGAAGACGTGGAGAGGGAAACACGGGTAGGGACACATGGGCAGGGAGACGTGGGGAGGCAGACACGGGAAGGGACACACTGGCAGGGAGACGTGGGGAGGCAGACACGGGGAGGGAGACACGGGGAGGGAGACACGGGCAGGGAGACGTGGGGAGGCAGACACGGGGAGGGAGACACGGGGAGGGAGACACGGGGAGGGAGACATGGGCAGGGAGACACGGGCAGGGAGACACGGGGAGGGAGACACGGGCAGGGAGACGTGGGGAGGGAGACACGTGGAGGGAGATACGGGGAGAGAGATATGGGCAGGGATCCACAGGGAGGGAGACGTGGGGAGTTAGACACAGGGAGGGAGACGCAAAAAGAGGAGACACAGAAGGGGAGACACGGGGAGGGCGATGTGGGCACGGGGACGTGGACAGGGAGACACAGAAACACAGTGCAGACACATACATGAGTGTGTCTCTGCTGAATTAACCACATGACATGCGCTGGTTACTGTGTGAACGCATGCCGGTTGCTGTGCGTTGCAGCGCTGGTCACCGTGCTTTGCAGCGCCGGTAACCGCGTGTTGCCGTGTCGCTGCAGATGAGGTGGGTGTTTGCGGTGCTGCCTGCTCCGTGTTCGACAGCTGCAACTGCTCGGACGCAAGCGACATTGAGCTGGGCGAGGAGGCCCTCGCTCGCAAGTCGCCCAAGACCTCGCGGGCGAGCCGCTCACCCCGCCTCCCAAGGTACCTCACCCTTTGCTCCTCACCCTTGCCCCTAATCCGCTGGCTCCTCACCCTCGCTCCTCGTTCCTCATCCTCGCCCCTCACTCCTCACCCTCGCCCCTAATTCCCGCACCCTCACTCCTCACCCTCGCTCCTCACCCTTGCTCCTACTCACCCACGCTCCTCACACCGATTGCGGAGCCCATGTCCCCATCTTGCTCTGTGTGGCGCGGCCGCAGGATAAACATGGAGTCGCGGCGCTCACCTAAGCTGACACGGTGCAGCCAGGAGGGCGCCAAATCCCCGCGCCTTCCCATCCGCAAGCCCTCGCTGGGGTCGCCGAGCCTGGGCCGCCGTGATCTCTACCTGGACGACGGCCTTCAGGTGAGACGTGGCCTCCCATCACTACCCCCACCTCTCCTCCCCCCCATATGGCAACTGCCTCTCCTCCACCCTGACACTGCCACCACCTCTCCTCCACCCCCACATGGCCACCACCTCTCCCCCACCCTGACACTGCCACCGCCTCTCCTCCACCCTGACACTGCCACCGCCTCTCCTCCACTCCCACACGGCCACCGCCTCTCCCCCACCCTGACACTGCCACCGCCTCTCCTCCACCCTGACACTGCCACCGCCTCTCCTCCACCCCCACACGGCCACTGCCTCTCCCCCACCCTGACACTGCCACCACCTCTCTCCCACCCTGACACTGCCACCGCCTCTCCTCCACCCCCACACGGCCACCGCCTCTCCCCCACCCCCACACGGCCACCACCTCTCCTCCACCCTGACACTGCCACCACCTCTCCTCCCCCCCTCCACACGGCCACCGCCTCTCCCCCACACGGCCTTTTGGGAGGTTTTTTTCGTCATCAGTATTCGTTCAGCTCAAGAAAACTCTGACTCAGCAGTCAGGTTCGCTTTAACCAATGCGAGTGAACTGCCAGATGCTCGTAGACAAGGACCCTTTCTGGGTCTGGGGAAGAGCGGTGGGGAGTGAGGGCTGTGAGGTGGTTGTTTAGCAACGTGCTGTCCCCAGCAGCACAACTACTTGGCTCAAGTGACGTCCAACATCTGGGGAACCAAGTTCAAGATCGTGGGGCTCGCCCCCTTCCTTCCGGCCAACCTGGGCGCCGGTGAGAAGCACAACCACGCATCACGCCGCACGACCTCAACGCATGGCCTAAGGCCACACGACCTGACACCACATGACCTAAAGCCGCATGACCTCGCACCACATGACCTAACACGACACGGCCTTACACCACATGACCTGGCGCCACATGGTCTGACACCACATGACCTGACACAACACGGCCCTTACGCCACCATCTAACGCCACCGTCTAACACCATGCAACCTGACGCCAAGTGGCCTGATGCAATGACCTAACGCAATGATCTAACACAGCAACCTAACGCCTCATGACCTAACTCCACCACCTTATGTTTGTGTGCTCTTGTGTGGAAGTGTTGCTGTGTTTGTGTGCGGTCGTGTGTTGCTATGTTTTCGTGTGTTGTAGTGTTGTCGTATGGAAGGGTTGCCATGTTGTCGCACAGCATTGTTTCTGTGTGCGTGTGCTCTTGGCGGGGCTGTGTGAATCTCGTTGCTCTGTCGGCCACCTTCCGTGCAGTGATCTACAAGACGAGCCTACTACACCTGCAGCCTCGCCAGATGACCATCTACCTGCCGGAGGTGCGCAAGCAGACCCAGGGCTATGTGTCGGTGGCGGCCTTCACGCCGGGGGTCTTTAGCGATGATGAGGACGAGGGCGCAGGTACAGCTGCCCCCCACCCCCCCCCCCCCATGCCTCCTCCACCCAGCCCCCCAGGCTCCCGCTGCTATCTCCTCGGAGCCCCTCCTCTCAGGGAGGTGATGCGGCTTAGTGGTGGCGCTTTCGCCGTCTGTTCCAGAAGTTCGCGATTATAATCCGGCAGGCCGGCCCGGTTATTGCTGCAGGTGTATTAAATGGTAGTAGCTCTGTTTGCTACACTGCTGGAATTTGTTTTTATTTATTTTGTCATTTGAGTGACCCAGGTCACTCTTGTAAATGAAACCCATCCTCTAATCTCTCGAGTTCTGACATGGTTAAACAATTTAACTTGAGAACTGAACTAATATTTGCTGCATACATAGGTCCTGTGTGTCACGCGCGATGCTGTGCCCTGCCTGCCTCATGGCTGCTGCTCTTCATGTGTTGTGTCTCACCTGTGTTGTGTGTACACGTGCAATGTATACACTTGTGTGCTGTGTGTACACGTGCCATGTGTACACGTGCTGTGTGCTGTGTTTACACGTGCTGCGTGTAATCATGCTGCGTGTGCCATGTGTACGAGTGCTGTGTGCTTCAATTTGAACCCGCCTCTCTATCTCACCCCCTCCTGATCTCTGCTCCCCGTGTCTCTGTGCAGTGGCCGGGGCCTCAGGCCAGCGTGAGCCAAGTCCTCCGTGCTCCATGAACATCCCCATCGCCCCCATCTTCAGCTCGGCCCAGTCGATCTCTCCCACGCAGAACATCGGCTTGGCACAGAGCCTGCTTGCCAATCAGAATGTGCAGCTCGACATCCTGACCAGCCAGAGGCCGGGCCAGCCTGCGGCCTCCAACCACAGTCCACAGCAGCTGGAAGTCCCGACCAATCAGCGGCTGTCTCAGGTGGCTCAGAATGTGCAGTACGACGCCCTGGGTGGCCAGAGACTAGCGCAGCAGAATCTGTCCAATCATAATGCGCAGGTCGATTACACGCTGGCCAATCAGAGGGTGGCCCAGGCGGTGCTCGGGGGTCAGTTCCCGCACATGGACGTGCTGGCCAATCAGAAGGCGGCGCACGCGCACATGGTGAACCAGTCGGTGCCGGGAGAGAAGCTCACCAACCAGAGGGCGGTGCAGACAGTTCTGGCCAACCAAAACACCCAGCTGGACATTCTGGCCAATCAGAGGGCCGCGGTGCAGGCCCAGTTGGCCAATCAGAGCGCCCAGCGGGAGATGCTGGCCAATCCCCGCACGTCCATCGGCGGGGCGAGCGGTCACGTGGGGCCACTCGACGTCATCACCAACCAGGCGGCGGTGGCGGCTGCGGCGGTGGCCTCGGCGTCGGAGCGCGGCGAGGCGGAGCACTACAGCACACTGAAGCGCAACTCCAACCCCGCGCCAGGGCAGGCCATCTTCGGGGGAGCGGACCACCCCGGCAGGACCAGTGGCTCGGCACCGGCGTATGCCCAGCAGCCAGCTCCGCCTCCGCATGTGCAGCACACGCCATTCCCCAACCAGCAGATGCTCCACCAGATGCAGCTCACTGCCCAGGCCATGCTGCATAGCCAGCAGACGCAGTTCAACCAGCAGGCGCTCCACTCGCAGGCCGGCCAGCAGACAACGCACATACAGCAGACGCAGTTCATCCAGCTGACGGCATACAGCCAGCAGGCCATGCAGTCACACGTCCCGGCGGCGGCCTCGGCCTCGGCCCGGGAGAAGGAGACGGCCGCCAAGAGCGAGCTGCTGTCGCGGCAGTACCAGCAGCAGCAGCAGCTGTCAGATCGCGATGCGCTGGGCTTCACCAGCGACCACAACGTGGCCGTGGCTCACATCCGCAAGGGAGGGGAGGCGCTGCGGCTGCCCTCTGCAGCCAGCGCCGCCACCACGTTCACTCCCCAGAGTCTGCAGGATCAACAGCAGCAGCAGCAACATGCGCAGCAGCAGCATGCACAGCAGCAGCAGCATGCACAGCAGCAGCATTTACTACAGCACCAACAACAGCACTCACAACAGCAACCACAGCAGCATCCACCCCAGCAACAGGTGCAGCAGCAGCAGCAGCAGCACCTTGTGCAGCCTCAGCAACAGCAGCAGCAACAACCCCAGCAGCAACAAATGGCAGGGCTGGCCTGCACGTGCCCTCCGCTTGCCAGCTTGGGCTACGAGCGCATCACCACGTTCGACAGCAGCGGCAATGTCCAGGAGGTGTGCCGCCCCCGCGCCTCCACGGGGAGCACTTCTGGAGCGGGGGTCGCGGGGGTGCGCACCAGCCAGAGCATGTACGGCCTGCGTAGCCCGGGGCCCGCTCCCAGCTCCCCGCAGTCCCCATTCTCCCCGCAGGCCCCGCAGTCCCCGTTCTCCGCACAGCCGCCCACGCCTCCCTTCTCCTCCTCCCAGGCTCCCGTCTCTCCCTTTGGCCAAACGTCGCAGGCGCCCGCCCAGCCGACGGGGCTGGCGGCGGCGGCGCCAGTGGCGGCGGCGCACCCGAGCGTGGCCACGGCGCCACTGGCGCCGCCGCACCCGCCCGCCGTCGCCAGCTACCAGTCGGCGACGCTTGGCCACCAGCCTTCGGGGGTGTCCTACCAGCACGCCAATGCCGCCTTCCAAGCCGCCGGCGCCGGATACCAGGGGGGCAACGTCGCCGCCCTCCATCAGGCTCAGTTCCACGATGGCGGCAAGCAGCCGGTGGTGCCGCCACCACAGCAGCAGCCGGGGGTTAGCACGGTGAAAAGAGGGAGTGCGGAACTCGTGAAGTCGGGCAGCGAGAAGCCGGCAATGGCGCCCGTAGCGTTTAACCTGCAGGGCCAGTCAGCGCAGTACGCGCGGGCCGCCAACCCAGTGCAGAGAGTCGCCTCCAACACGCTGCCCTCGAAAAGCTCGGGGCAGTCGGTGAGGCTGAGCGACGGCCAGAGAGTCACGGCGCAGGCGAAGGCTCCCAACGCGGCCTTCTCCGCAGAGACCTGCCCCTGTCAGCTGAGACCGCAGCAGGGGCAGCACGCTCAGGCCCAGCCGCAGCTGCAGCAGCAGCAGCAACAGAAGGGGGAGGGGTACCAGCAGCAGCAGCAGGCCAGACTGCCGGGAAACGGCGGCCATCACGGTGCCTATGTGGGGCAAAGTGCCGGTGCCACGGCTACCAAAACGATGGAGCACTCGAGCACACGGCAAATCCAGCAACAGATTCAGCAGCACCAGATTCACCAGCAGCAAATACAAGCGCTGCAGCAGCATATCCATCAGCAGCAGCAGCTGCAGCAGCTGCATCAGCAGCAGCTGAAACAACAACAGCAGCAGCATATGCATCAGCAGCAACAGCAACAGATGCAGCAACAGCAATTGCAACCGCAGCAGCATCAGCTGATGCAGCAGCAGCAACACCAGCTGCAGCAGCAGCATCAGCCATCGCAGCAACAACAACAACAAATACAGCAGCAGCAAAGTATTCTGCAGCAGCAACAGCAACAGCACCATATGCAGCAGCAGATTCAACAACAGCAACAGATGCAGCAACAGCAGATTCAGCAACAGCAGCAACAACAATTACAACAACAGCAATTGCAACAGCAGCAACAACAGCAATTGCAACAACAACAATTGCAACAGCAGCAGATTCAGCAACAGCAATTACAACAGCAGCAACAGTTGCAACAGCAGAAACAGCAGATTCAGCAGCAGCAAATACAACAACAGATTCAGCAACAACAGCAGACGCAGCAACAGCAGATTCAACAACAGCAGACACAGCCACCACAAATACAGCAGCAGCAACAACAGCCGCAGCAGCAGAAGCAGAGCACTGTGATCGTGCACTCTGTGAGCATCTCGCCACTGAGCTCACAGTCCTCGTACAGCTTGCTGAGCCCGGCCGACCCCTGCCGCGACCAGACCGAGTACGTGAACGGGGCGTTCTCTGAGGATGACGCATCTGAAAAATCCTTTAAGAAAGAAAATGCGGCCGCAGCAGCAACAGCAGTGGTGGCCAAAGCGGACCCGGGCCATCACAAAGAGGCCGGCAAAGAAGGGAGTGTGGAGGCCAAGAAGCCGGCGGAGTGCCAGACGGATGGACCATCCGTGCCGATCACCAGTTCCCCCAAACCATCGGAGGGTCGCAGGGCCTCGTCGGGAGAGATGCCTGCGGCCGCGCCCACCAAAGTTGCTCAGAGCTATCGCGGAGCCACGAGAGAGATGGGCACGGACACGCTGAAGAGAGAGGTCTCCAGCGTTCCGGCCTTACCGAAGTCCGCGCAAATTCCCGGCCGAGACGGCGGCTCCGCGGTGAGCAAGCCCGCTCAGTGCTATAGGGACGTGCAGACGCTGAACCCATCGCGAGACCAGTGGCTGCAGCAGGGCGGCAGGGCCAAGTCTGTAGCCGGGCACTATGGAACTATGATTCCGACGTCACACCAAGCGCAGGCCAAGCACGCCGGAAACTTTCTCCCGGCAGCGGTAGCTGCCGCAGCACAACGATCCCAGAACAGCCCTCGCGGTGCGCTCAGCGGTGGCAATGCCCAATATTATGCCACCATGAGACCCACCAACATGGCCCGATACCAGCACAACTACAGTGGTAGCGGCGGTGCCGCCACGCGCCACGCCGCCGTGCCCGTGGCCTACACCGGCAGAGACGCCAGCGGGCTGCCGGTGCAGTACGGTGATGGCGTGACGGTGCCGCGGCAGGCGCTCGCCATGAACTACCCGCCCACTGCCGCCGCGGCCGTATGCCTCCCGGCGGCCGGCCACTACGCCACACTGCCTCGGCCCAACATCTTGGTGACCGGAGAGCCACGGGCGAGCGTGAGCGTGCAGCCGTCATACACGGACCTGGCGCAGCGTTACGCCACCATTGCCCGGGCAGCGCATGCCGGAGAGCGGGGACAGCCGGCGCCGCATCAGCAGCATCATCCCCATCAGCAGCAGCATCAGCAGCAGCAGCATCACCAAGGTTCTGCAGGGGCTGATGCCGCGGCCGGCGGCACCATCATGGGCCTGGCAGGGGCCGAGGCCGTGTGCGGTGGGGCGCGGGTTCCCGACCCCAGCTACGGGGAGATGATGCCAGCGGATTGTGCCAGCTCCTGCCGGGTTGACAAGCCAGGTAAGAAGGCGTGGAAGCTTGCGGGGGCAACCTGACATCGTCCAGGTTCACCAATGAGAGGACACGGAAGGTTTTGTCACCTGATGTGCCATCGCAACCCCGCTGCGTTAGAGCGCTGGTCACTTAGGCATTGTGGTTTTGTTCGTACGGTGCTCACCGAAACGCTCTGGCTCAGACACAATGTGCCAGGCACCTGGGCATTTATCAATTAAAATATTAAATATTTGCTAAGTCCCTGGGTGCCCAGCACAGGGATGGAGTTAAATTGTATCTTGGCCGGAGTGTGTCGGTGACCCCAGAATTTAACGTGAGTACTAAAATCTAGTTTTTAGTGCCGTGACTGCATTGTCTCAGAGCCTGCAGACCAAACAATGCCGTGAGACGGAGGCTCTATCATCACTATCACAACGTTTAACTTTTCCCTGGGCTAGCGTGGCGGCTCCCAGAGAACACCACACGTCATAACGTAGCTTAGGGTTTCGGCTGCCAACTCTCGTCCTTGGAGATGGGGGGACTGTGACATTGCCAGAGGCCGTGGTGTCGGCACTGCTGACAGTTGCATTTGTAGAACTTGGCAAAGATTAAAACTCCCAGGTGGTGATAGAATCACAGCCGCTTTTGTTGGGCACGGTCTCCCATTGATAGCGACACCACCCTCATGGCCTCTTCGGCTACACGAGCTTTGGAATATTCCAACATGTGCCCCCCCAGGTCGACTCAGCCTTAATGAGTACCTGGTGTGGAGTTGACAAAGGCAGCCGGTTTGGTACTGGCCACACCACCGCACCTAGGCCTTAATAGGCACTTTCTAACAGAACTTGCCCCAATGGTCAATTAAGGGCTACGCGGGGGGATCTCCGCTTCGTTCCCACCTCTTGACAAACCGTGCTGTGCGTCTGCGGGGGATGCAGGCGCACGCAAGGACACACGTCTGCTTACTGACCTCAACTCACTGCTCGCGAGTCCCAAGGCCGGCCGTGGGGACAAGAAGAAGGGTGGCGGAGGCAGCAGCAAGGGCCCGCTAGGCCGGGAGCCGCTGGCTGGCGCCGTCGCCAAGGCCCCGTCCAGCAAGAAGATGCTGTCAAAGGGCGGCGGCGGTGGCAGCGGTGGCGGGGGCAGTGGCAGCCTGAGCGGGGGCGGCGGGGAGTTCCAGGACAGCTCGGAGAGCGAGCACGAGGTGGTGGTGAGCGGGGACGAGTTCACCTCGAGCCAGGGCCCCGCATTCCGCAAGGGCTGGAAGGGCAAGCGGGGGGCACGGGGAGCGGGTGGCATGGAGGCAGACGAGGCCAAAGGTAGCGGCAACCTCCCTCCCTCCTACCCATCCCTCCCTCCTTCTTGTCTCTCCCTCCCTCCTGTCCCTCTTTCCCTCCTGTCCTTCCCAGCCCTCCCATGCCTCTCCCCCGCCCCTCCCTATCCCTCTCGTCCCTGCTGCCCCCTCCTTTCCCCTCCCTCCCCCCGTCGGGAGCTCCCTGGTAAGTGCCGTGCGTTTTACCGTGCAGGCCGGCGCAGCGACAGGGAGGACGGGGGCCGCCCGGCAGGAAGCGGCAGCGGGGCCGGGGTTGGCGGCGGAAGCGGCGGCGGTGGCGGCGGCGGTGGCACGCAGGGCTTCGTCTACGTCATGGCCAACAAGCAGCCGCTGTGGAACGAGGCCACGCAGGTCTACCAGCTCGACTTCGGGGGCCGCGTCACCCAGGAGTCGGCCAAGAACTTCCAGATCGAGCTCGACGGGAAACTGGTCGGCGCCGCCCGCTCACGCACGCGTTCACTCGTACACGCGATCACACATTATCACACATTATCACACATTATCACACATCACACAATATCACACATCACACATTATCACACATTATCACACATTATCACACGCATTATCAGACGTGGTCACACGTGATCGCACACGTTATGACACGGGTTATCACACGCGATCATACATTATCACACACGTTACCACATGCGGTCACGTTATCAAACACGTTATCACAGGGAATCACACGTTATCACATGCTATCACACGTTATTACATGCGATCACGTTATCACAAGCTATCACACGCGATCACACGTTGTCACACGCGATCACACACTATCACATATGATCACACGCGATCACATGTTCTCATACAAGCAATTACACTCTCAAACGCGTGCTCACGTGCACACGCCCGTTCACGTTTGCGATCCCGCACGCTCGCACACTCGTTCATATCTCTGCGTGACTCGCGGACAGGAGTGGCGTCGTGCGAGGGGCTGGGGGGGAAGCGACGCTGACGCGCTGCTCCGCGGTGCCGCCGCAGGTGATGCAGTTCGGCAGGATCGACGGGAACGCCTACATCCTCGACTTCCAGTCCCCGTTCTCGGCCGTGCAGGCCTTTGCCGTGGCTCTGGCCAACGTCACCCAGCGCCTGAAGTGACCTCGAGCCTCCGCCGACACCGCGCTCTGACGGCCATGACACCGAGCTGAGAACCCAAGGGATGCGCGTGCAAAAGACTCTACGCTGCTGTTTAGCTCGAAGCCCGACCTGAAAGTTTGGAAGCAGCCATGACGTTTGGAAATCTGAGCATTGGTCCGATGGCCCAGGCTTTGTTAAAAAATTTTAAGCAGAGCGCTCCTGCCGTGAACCGCGGAAGCCTTTGCGATCGGCGATCGGTGGTTGTTATGTGGCGTTCAGACAGCGGAGCCGACTAGGCCCCCCCCGGGATGAACAAGTCCGTAAAAAAAAAGTGTTTATCTTGCTTACATTTCCTCGGTGCTTAACGTGCTCCAAGCCGCGCGACCCCTCAGCGGGGGGGCCTAGCCGCACCGTGCGGCGAGATGTAGCGTGTAGTTTGTTGCCGCATGTCTCATGTCGTCTCTTTAATGAAAATGTTAAAGTATTTACAAGCAAACTGAGCGTCTCTCCACCGCCCTCTCGCCAAATGGAGCCTGGCAGAGGCGGCCGTAAGGGACGAAGTTGTTGCATTCGGTCGGTCAAGGCGCCTGCCGGGGCGGCGAGGGGGGTGAGACGTGGGATCTGTTCCGTCGCCGAGCGGGGACCAATCGCCGGGGCCCGGGTGGTGTGGCAACGTGGACGGGTGGCTCATGCGAGGACGCCGTGCGTGGTGCGCATGTCTCATCCAATCCGCGCCCTCCACAGCCGCGAACGTCGCACTCAGCTGGCGAGTCGATTTCGGAGCTACTTCTGCAGTCGCGTACGGTCCTCAGCTTCTGCGGCAGATCGTTTGTTTCCCCTGTGGCGCGTGCGAGTGTTGTGCTCGCGGGCTGCGTCCGCCTGCAGAGGAGCCCCGTTGTACGTCTCCAGGCACCCGACACGGTTGGTGAATAATGTTAAGGCGTCGTCGCTTTGCTCTCGCCAACAATATTAAGTATTATATATTCACAAGTGAATGGCCAAGAGAACGATGGCAGAGGGCGCAGTATTCTAAAATTTGGCACAGCACTGTGAGCACATGTCGAGGCGTGGGTAGATGGTGGAGATGGAGACGGAAGGGTGTGGATGTAGTCGTGGATGTAGTCGTGGGAGAGAGGTTTAGCCTGAACTGCAACAGGGCGTTCAAACTAACGTGCGCGCTACCAATGCGATCACCAAATGCTTAAAGGAAAAAACGATGTCGCTGTAGACCCTAGGTGTGCGTCCATTGTGTTCGTCCTTGCCAAAAGCCAGCAAGCCGCCATGTTCCCAGCGTTCATGAGCGGCAGTGGCATCGTTATACACAGCTCGATGCCCGGCGGTATCGCCACACGGGGCTCCATGTCCAAGGTGCTTGCCTACGCGTGTTTCCTATGGCGACTCCTAGCCATGACCTCTAGCCGCCACCATTAGCCGTGACCCCTAGCAGCGACCCCTAACTGCGACCCTTAGCCATGACCACGTCCATGGGAGTGGGAATGCAAACGCCGACCCCTGACCAGGCAGGCACGGCAGTAGAGCTGGCCCCTGGATTAACCAGGAGGCCTCTGTGCAAGCATAGCGTCGGTCATTCTTGGACAGGTCAGCCAGCGATGTTTCTGCCCAGCTGCGCGGTAACAATTAGAATGCAAAATCGGCTGAAGCACGACTTCGACCAAGAGCTCGTGGACGTGCGCAGTATAACGCGGCACGTACCGCCATGAGGAGGGCATTCGTTGAGTACAGGCGCGGGGCGTCGGCGGCAGGTGCAGCCTTGTTGTGATGATGCGCTGTGTGGGACATGGCCACGCAAGCCTGCTCAGTTCTGCATCTCATTCGAAGACACGGGTCCCGGACGGCCGCGGCGAGCAGGCAAGTGTGCGTGCATTATCAGTGCTGTGGAAAAACGGCAGCTTCGGCGGGGCCGATGATGGGAGCCGACCCCGTTGCTCGACTTGAAGTTGGCCCAGTCGCTTAATTCATTGCCAGACCTCGAGCTGTTGAACGGTGTTTGCGGACGTGAGCCTCTCGCGTTCCAGCAGTGGATTGTTTCCAGTATTCTGAACCTGCCTTCATCGCGAACCACCCTCGCGGGGATCGATTTGTGTGATGTTGACCGCTCGTGCGCGTCGGCCTCACCCGCCGCGTCAACCGCGCGTGGAGGCGCGCGCACTCCCAGCAACGGCGCGGTGGACCGCGTCGCACCTTGTGGAGCTTTCCGCAAGTCTCCTTCAGGCCATAGCCACTAGGCCAGCATGCGTTTCTAATTCAAGCACGCGTCCCTCGGTAGGCCTGCTCTTTAGCTCAACGTCACATTGTGCAGCCACCGCGGGAGTCAGCTGGCAGATGCGGCGCTGTCCCCCGCACGCGAGCATCGCGGACTGCCCTGGCTGCCTCGAGCCGTGGCCGGGAGCTTGGCGCTGCCCGTGCGTCGCGGCGCAACGCGGAGGCCCCGACGCGTTGCCGCGGCCTGGCGCAGCAATCGCGAAGGAGGAGGACGGGGGGACGGCTCTCTTTGGTCCGCTGGCCGAGCGAGCTGATCGCCGCGAGTGGGAAAAATCGACTCCTGAGAAGCTCACGCTGCGTTTGGGCTCCATTCTGGCCAATGGGAGGGTGCTGTGAGACTCTTGCGTCTGCCACCGTTCGAGTACCGTGGCAGCTCCGTTGACGCCCTTCTGTCCGGACGCAGTCGCTCACGCCGCGATTTCCCCACTGGCTCTCACCCATGTTCCTCACGCCGCATGCCAATCCGATCGCTGTCTCTTACCTGCCGTTGACTGCCAATCTTGTTGTTGAGCTCGTTTGGTCTTTGTACCTTGAGAGAATGGTAAAGTATTATGATAATGATTAGTGTCATCGTAATGGCCTGAACACCGTAGTGAAATGGTGGAATGGTCTGTGACGCCGGTACAAAATGATAATGGTGTCGCAGTTGTAGGCCAGTTTCCATATGGGTTGGCACCGTGTGTGTGTTAGTACGACTGTGTGTGTGTGTTAGTACGACTGTGTGTGTATTAGTACGACTGTGTGTGTTAGTACGACTCGTGTGCGTGTGTTAGTACGACGTGTGCGTGTGTTAGTACGACTCGTGTGTGTTAGTACCACTTTGTGTGTTTTAGTATTACTCTGTTAGTACCACTCTGTGTGTGTTAGTACGACTCGTGTGTGTGTGTTAGTACGACTCGTGTGTGTGTGTGAGTACCACTCTGTGTGTGTTAGTACCACTCTGTGTGTATGTGTTATTACCACTCTCTGTGTGTAGGTTGGCACCTCGTGTATATATTTATATGTTTAGGGTTGGCATCGAACATGAGGCTTCATCCTGCCGAGCCATGACACCGTCATGTCGCATGCTGAGTGATAGCTGCATGCTTTTTAAAGTGATATGGGCTCCGTAGGTAATGTGTTACACGCGTGTCCCCGTGTCGTGTTACACGCGTGTTCCCCGTAGCGTTGCGTGTTGCAGTATTTCTGGCTTGAGGTTGGCTGTCGCCCTGCGTAGCTGCCCAGTCCAGCCCGTTCCACTGAAGCGCGCCGTGGGGCCTGCCTGGTTCTACTCGTCCTACGTTCTAGTTTACAGACACGACCCCCACTTATGCGGGTGTCGACTCTGTGTGTGCTCACCCGTGCGTTATTTATTATAACTTCTGTATACTGTATCGTGTACTGTATTGTAATACGCGTGCGTCCATGCGCGTGTCTGTACGGCCGTTAGAACAACGTCGCTTGCCTCGAGGGGCTACTACCGCGCTGCACGAGTATCGGAACAAATCCACCGCGATATTCCGCTTGAATTGAGTGCAATAAGTGAAGCCAGTGGCACGGCGGGCGGCGTCGTAACACAGAGTTGGCGGACAAGGAAGGCTCAGTAATCTGGTGTTCACTCCCGACAGTAATCTGGTGTTCACTCCGACAGTAATCTGGTGTTCACTCCCGACAGTAATCTGGTGTTCACTCCGACAGTAATCTGGTGTTCACTCGACAGTAATCTGGTGTTCACTCCGACAGTAATCTGGTGTTCACTCGACAGGAATCTGGTGTTCATTCCGACAGTAATCTGGTGTTCACTCAGACAGTAATCTGGTGTTCACTCCGACAGTAATTAGGTGTTCACTCGACAGTAATCTGGTGTTTACTCCCGACAGTAATCTGGTGTTTACTCCGACAGTAATCTGGTGTTTACTCCCGACAGTAATCTGGTGTTCACTCCGACAGTAATCTGGTGTTTACTCCCGACAGTAATATGGTGTTCACTCAGACAGTAATCTGGTGTTCACTCCGACAGTAATTAGGTGTTCACTCGACAGTAATCTGGTGTTTACTCCCGACAGTAATCTGGTGTTCACTCCGACAGTAATCTGGTGTTCACTCCCGACAGTAATCTGGTGTTCACTCGACAGTAATCTGGTGTTCACTCCGACAGTAATCTGGTGTTCACTCGACAGTAATCTGGTGTTTACTCCCAACAGTAATCTGGTGTTTACTCCCGACAGTAATCTGGTGTTTACTCCGACAGTAATCTGGTGTTCACTCCGACAGTAATCTGGTGTTCACTCCGACAGTAATCTGGTGTTCACTCTGACAGTACTCTGGTGTTTACTCCGACAGTAATCTGGTGTTTACTCCCGACAGTAATCTGGTGTTCACTCCGACAGTAATCTGGTGTTTACTCCCGACAGTAATCTGGTGTTTACTCCGACAGTAATCTGGTGTTCACTCCGACAGTAATCTGGTGTTCACTCCGACAGTAATCTGGTGTTCACTCCGACAGTAATCTGGTGTTCACTCGACAGTAATCTGGTGTTCACTCGACAGTAATCTGGTGTTTAGTCCAGACAGTAATCTGGTGTTCACTCCGACAGTAATCTGGTGTTTACTCCCGACAGTAATCTGGTGTTCACTCCGACAGTAATCTGGTGTTTACTCCGACAGTAATCTGGTGTTCACTCCGACAGTAATCTGGTGTTCACTCCGACAGTAATCTGGTGTTTACTCCCGACAGTAATATGGTGTTCACTCCGACAGTAATCAGGTGTTCACTCCGACAGTAATCTGGTGTTCACTCCGACAGTAATCTGGTGTTCACTCGAAAGTAATCTGGTCTTCACTCCGACAGTAATCTGGTGTTCACTCCGACAGTAATCTGGTGTTCACTCCGACAGTAATCTGGTGTTTACTCCCGACAGTAATCTGGTGTTCACTCCGACAGTAATCTGGTGTTCACTCCGACAGTAATCTGGTGTTTACTCCGACAGTCATCTGGTGTTCACTCGACAGTAATCTGGTGTTTACTCGACAGTAATCTGGTGTTCACTCCGACAGTAATCTGGTGTTCACTCCCGACAGTAATCTGGTGTTTACTCCCGACAGTAATCTGGTGTTCACTCGACAGTAATCTGGTGTTTACTCGACAGTAATCTGGTGTTCACTCCGACAGTAATCTGGTGTTCACTCTCGACAGTAATCTGGTGTTTACTCCCGACAGTAATCTGGTGTTTACTCCCGACAGTAATCTGGTGTTCACTCCAACAGTAATCTGGTGTTTACTCCGACAGTAATCTGGTGTTTACTCCGACAGTAATCTGGTGTTCACTCTGACAGTAATCTGGTGTTTACTCCCGACAGTAATCTGGTGTTCACTCCGACAGTAATCTGGTGTTCACTCCGACAGTAATCTGGTGTTCACTCGACAGTAATCTGGTGTTTACTCCGACAGTAATCTGGTGTTCACTCTGACAGTAATCTGCTGTTCACTCGACAGTAATCTGGTGTTCACTCCCGACAGTAATCTGGTGTTCACTCGACAGTAATCTGGTGTTCACTCGACAGTAATCTGGTGTTTACTCCGACAGTAATCTGGTGTTCACTCGACAGTAATCTGGTGTTCACTCCGACAGTAATCTGGTGTTCACTCGACAGTAATCTGGTGTTCACTTGACAGTAATCTGGTGTTTACTCCCGACAGTAATCTGGTGTTTACTCCGACAGTAATCTGGTGTTCACTCGACAGTAATCTGGTGTTCACTCCGACAGTAATCTGGTGTTCACTCGACAGTAATCTGGTGTTCACTCGACAGTAATCTGGTGTTCACTCGACAGTAATCTGGTGTTTACTCTCGACAGTAATCTGGTGTTCACTCCGACAGTAATCTGGTGTTCACTCCGACAGTAATCTGGTGTTCAGTCCGACGAGGCTGAAATTCATCCTTCGGCTGATGATGGCGCCTGGCTGCCTGCCCCGGCCACGTGCAGTGTTTGCCATTTCTGATGCTTGCTATCGATGGGGACGATCCCTGTCCTGCAGGACTCCGTTCAAACACGATCGGCCCATTGCGATTAAACTTCCTATCTTTAAAGGGGGCAGTCCTTGGCAAATCAGAGTTAACTTCGGACCTCCCCATTTCACCCAGACCCCTCTGCTGCTCCCGATGGGGTTCTCTGCTGTGCCACTGGCTGTGTTGGGGGGGGGGGGCGATGCACTGAAATGTGGCGTGCTGAAGAGCGCCACGCACGACGAAGCGGCTCAAATTTTTCGACGTTCATTCAAACTGTGGTCGAGGCCATGGAAGTCGTGGCTGATGTCCCTCAAAAGCATTCCCAGGGATTGTGGGGAATCCGTATCACGTGGTAAGTTACGCGCGGTGCTCGACACCTACTCCCTTGCGAGCAGAAATAAACACTGTCCCTTTACATTTTCACGCATGCACAGTCCCTGAGTGTGACTCCATGTGGTGTCCCCTTGGTGACTTTGTGGTGAGGGTGCACGCCCCCGCCCAGTCACCCACGTTGTTTGGCCCGCATTGCCCTGGGGGCAGGGGGGGGGTCCGGCCGCTTGCCTCGGAGGCGCCACGAGCACCCCAAGGGTGCTGTTCCTGCCGCAGTGGCGGACAGCGTTAGACGTAGACTGACCGTGTCGTGTGTGTGCGTCGTGTGTCACGCTCGTTCGCTTACTACCCAGCCCGGAAACCCGAAGGGAAGCGCCTTGCCCCGCGCTGTTAGTCGGTGTCCCCCGTGGGTTCGTGTCCCGTGGCCGTCTCGATGGGGGCTGCGCCCGCGTGCGTTTGTGTGCCCAGTGAGTAGCGCGTGGTTCCAGTCGCTGAAATAATAAAATAAAAAAGCCTCAATGTTTCATCAACTCGTTGCTGACGTCTCCCGAGTGAGTTTACCTGCTCGACGTTGTGCTCTACGAACATCATCCACATGGGCGAGCCAGCTTCCATGGAATACATTTTTCTTACATCGACTTGCGAACTCGCAAGCTGCGAACTGAACCGCGGAACTATTTTGTTCAGCGGACCGATCATCTGAGATGTAATGAGTCACAGCATCCCGCTAACAGCACTTGGCTCAACAGTCTGCTGAGGCTATACGGGGATATTTGTGTTGTGTGTGAAAGTGAGAGCACGCGCGCGTGGAGCGGCAGTGCAATGGTAGCGCTCCTCACTCGGTGACCCGAGTTCCATTCCCGCTCACAACCAAGACCGGTGACGATTATCTGAATGGGTCCTGGGCCTCCCTAGGACAACTCAGCCTCAAATGAGTACCTGGTGCGGTGTGTAGTAAACATCGCCACTGGGGAGACAAAGGCGGCCGGGCGTGGTGCTGGCCACCCACCACCTCGTGTGCCGTGCCGGCCGTCATAGGCGCTCGCTAACAGCACTTGCCCCTCCAGTCTGTAACAGGCTACACGGGGGATCTTTGTGTGGCTGTGCGCGTGCACGTGCGTGTGTGCAGTTGCGGTGACTCTTTGCGCCTCTTCCGACAAGCAAACCGGCAATCAGGACTCTCAGTAAGTGCAGATAAAACAGATGGGGTTTTTATTATATTTGTTACATTGTGTGTTATCTACTATACAGTTTGCATTACGCTACACGCCAATAGAAACATCACAATAATAATAAGACGCTTGTCTGTAACGCCAGCCCCGGGGGGAGGGTGGGGGTTATGACGCCTCGCTGTTGAGGTGGAGGGGAGGGGCTGATGACTTCAGAGTTATCGACGTCACGCGACACTGGTGAGTGGAACAGAGGGCTGATGCCGTCACCCTAGATTGAGGGGGCGATGACGTCACGAAACAATGTCGCGAGGAGGCGGGATGGGTGATGACGTCACGCGACACTGGTGAATTTGAAGCGGAGGGGCGATGACGTCACGCTATATAGAGCCGCCTTGGCGGGGGTGGTGAGGATCGGGGCTGATGACGCCACGAGAAGCGGTGGGGGGTGGGCGACGGCGTGGCTGTGACGAGGTGGAGGGGAGCGAGATTAACACGTTCGCCATCCTGCTCTAGACGAGTTGTACACCCCGAGCTGCCACTGCTATTCATTGGCGTAAAATAAAATAAAATGTTTCGCTCCGGCTGACGCTGCAAAGTATTATCTGTATTTTGATTTAGCGTGCTGATCTTAAAGGTGCATTGAAAAATTTGATACTCTGACCGATGCTTCTGTTGTGGAGTAACTCATGCAGCCAGCTATGACTCTAGGATTTTGGTGTTACATGTTATTTATGTAGTTTATTGTACAAATTCGGTCACAGTCCCTGTGATCACTGTTACGTTGCAATTATGGCTTTATTTTTTGGTGATTTCGAAAAGTGTTTTGGTTTGGACATGTTTGTTTTGTTGTAGTACGGGGTTAGACTGATGGCCTTAATCTAAGTTTTCTTGTGGTTGTTGTTTGACTTGCATCCCACTGGGATTTTTTGCACAGCGTTGGTGTACGGTGCTTTTTTCAAGAATATTTTGCTGTTTTTTCCTGGATTTTCTGTTTGCACAGTCACACAAAGTCACTTTAAGATGTTTTCTTGTTCGTGTTTTTGTTTGTTGTGGTTGCACCCGATTCAAGAGCCGAATGGCTCACAGGGCTATACCAAAATAAATAAACTAAAAACTAACTAAACGCAGAGGTCCCACGTGTACAATGCTTCGTCGTATTTCTGAGTTTAACAAATGCATCCCTTTTTTGTTGAACCGTAACACATTTGATAACACCGACCTATGCGCATTTAAATACAGTACATTAATTTGTTCCGACTTACGAACCGCTCATGAACGCACGCAACCAGCTCGTAACTCGATGACTGCCCCGACTCTGTGGGGACATCCATTTAGCCGGTACGGATGGAGGTGAACCCAAACGCCTGTGTATTGGGGCGGGGGGGGGTCTACTGACAATGTGCGTGCATAGGAAATGGGGGGGGGGGGGTGAAGCCTCGATAATAATTTGTCTACATTGGCCTTCAAATGGGTTAGATAGTCCGGCAGTAGACTATCTGTTTGCTTAAACACGTTAATATTATTAATCCTTGGTCGTTTCTGCGTGGATTAAATATCGTCCGTTCTATAGGATTCGGGGGGTGGGGTGGGGGGGTGTAAAAGGATCGCGTGCCTCCAGGGAGAGGGGAATGGGGTGAACAAACGCCTGTGTATGGGGGGGGGGGGCTACTGACAAGTGATCTCAGATTCTTGCGTCGCTCCGCAATGGATGGCCTCTAATCGAGCGCGCTCTGTAGAACCAATGAGGGCGCAGTTCCCACGGCCACGTTTTAACAGGATCGAACGACTCCGCGTCGGAATGAATGTTAATGCTCGGCGTCAATGGATGGGCTAACGGCCAAACATTTCACCAGTGGGCTTTTTCAATCCACACATCGTCTCTTTCGATCCAGAATTCATGTGACCGGGGTCACTTTACGGATTTATACAATTGCCTCTGCTCGATCACTTCTTGTTTCCATAGACACGTATTCAAAATGTCAGCTCAATTACTGCTCTACCTGATACAAAATATGTACTAAAAATGTCATAGCTGAATCACTGCTCGATCCCATAGACGCAAGTATTGACATTGAATACGTGTCTATGTGATCGAGCAGTAATCGAGAAATGGTGGAGCATTGATCAGGCTTTGGATCGTTATAAATCGTCGATTCCCGTAAATAAATAAATCCTTTGGGCAACGACCACACCCCAAAACCCGTATTTTGGCAAAGCCACCCTCAATTACTCCCATATATGGGCCTGAAAATGTATAATAATTTCTCATTATCTCGCAGATGTCTACTCTGATATTCTCAGCGCTCTCCGACAAGTTGCTCTGGTAAGTGGCGTTTCCGAACGCGGTCTTTAAAATAAACTCATTCTTACTGGAGTTACCGAACGCGCGCTCTCTCTGTAGACACGCCCTGGGGGTGGAGTTACCGAACGCGCGCCCTCTGTAAACCCGTCTTGGGGGTGGAGTTACCGAACGCGGCTCCGCTGATGCCGAGTGACGTCACCCGGAAGCGGCGCGGGTGACGTGGCCTTGTGGACGAGCAGATCGAGAAAGTAGACAGCGGCCCCCTCTACAGTGAGTACCCTGTACAGTGAGTACTCTCTACTGTACTCTACAGTGAGTACTCTCTACAGTGAGTACTCTCTACTGTACTCTACAGTGAGTACTCTCTACAGTGAGTACTCTCTACAGTGAGTACTCTCTACAGTGAGTACTCTCTACAGTGAGTACCCTGTACAGTGAGTACCCTGTACAGTGAGTACCCTGTACAGTGAGTACCCTGTACAGTGAGTACCCTGTACAGTGAGTACCCTGTACAGTGAGTACCCTGTACAGTGAGTACCCTGTACAGTACTCTCTACAGTGAGTACTCTCTACAGTGAGTACTCTCTACAGTGAGTACTCTCTACAGTGAGTACTCTCTACAGTGAGTACTCTCTACAGTGAGTACCCTGTACAGTGAGTACTCTACAGTACTCTCTACAGTGAGTACTCTACAGTGAGTACTCTCTACAGTACTCTCTACAGTACTCTCTACATTGTGTACTCTCTACAGTACTCTCTAGCTCAGTCCCTACCGTGTGTGCTCCCTAGCGCACGGACTGCACTCGACCGGACACCCGACTGAAGCTGAAGCACAGCAGGCCGAGATCATCGCCCCGTCAGCTGCTCCACGGTGGCCGCGATGGAGCACGAACTGTGAGCCCCGTGTGGTGGTGGTGGGGTGTGTTGTGTGGTGGTGGTGGGGTGTTGTGTGGTGGTGGTGGGGTGTTGTGTGGTGGTGGTGGGGTGTGGTGGTGGTGGGGTGTGGTGGGGTGATGCTGTGATGGGAGTGATGCTGTGTTTGCATTGTGATGTAGTGTGTAGTAGTGTGTGATGGTGTGTGTTGTGGGGTCCTATGTGTGTCGTGCTGTGTTGGAGCAGTCGTGCGTGTGTGCGTGCCTGTGAGTCACATCGTGTCACGGTGATGAAGTGGACTGGGTGTGAGGTCCCTTGAGGGAGCAGCGCTGTCCACTCAGCGTGGTGTCGCAGTGCTCCCTCGCCACACCGAGTCGTCGCGGGAGTCGTGTGTGTCTTGGGTGAACACGTGGCTCCACCTGTACCGCACCCCGCACAGGAATCTCGTTCTGTTGTCCCGAGTGTTTGAGTGGGGTGAGTGAGTGGGGTGTTTGAATGGGGTTAGTGAGTGGGGTGTTTGGGTGGGGTGAGTGAGTGGGGTGAGTGAGTGGGGTGTTTGGGTGGGGTGTTTGGGTGGGGTGTTTGAGTGGGGTGAGTGAGTGGGGTGAGTGAGTGGGGTGAGTGAGTGGGGTGAGTGAGTGGGGTGAGTGAGTGGGGTGAGTGAGTGGGGTGTTTGGGTGGGGTGTTTGAGTGGGGTGAGTGGGGTAAGTGGGGTGTTTGAGTGGGGTGAGTGGGGTGAGTGAGTGGGGTGAGTGAGTGGGGTGGGGAGCGGAAGTGTAGCGGCAGCGTGCTGCGCTACCAACCCGGCCACTCGAGTTCGATTCCCGCTCGCGGCCAACTCCAGGTCCTGGGCCTCCCCTAGGTTAATCCAGCCTCAAATGAGTTCACTACCTGGCGCGGTGTTTAAACATTGCCACTCAGTAGACACATCCACCCATCGTCCATGTCGGTCTTCATAGGCGCTTGCTAACAGCTCTAGCCCCAACATTATGTTAAGGCTGAAGGATTTTTCTTTGTGGTGTATGAAGAAGACTTGTGTGTGTGTTTTTGGGGAGGGGGGGGGTCATTGGGCTGTCACTGTGGTTGTAATGCGGATTTTATCCATCCTGAGTGAAGCTGCAGACGCACCATGCAAAACCAGAATCGTGCGTCGCAGCCTCCTGGCTGCCAAGCACAAGACTACAACGCAATCGCTCTCATCACATTCCCGTCTAATAACGGGGCCATCGCAGTCTCACCTGGGGGAATAACTCAGTCATTGAATAGATCAGAATACCTGCTCAGTGACACAGTAGCTTTTCTACTTACCGAAATTGCACTTTTACCCACTCACTCACCTACCCACAGTTACACCCAGTCACTCCCACTTCCTCCCTCAACACTCAATCACTCGCCCACCCACCCTCTCATCCGCTCACCCACCCACCCGCCCACCCATTCACTCACCCACCCACCCACCCGCCCACCCATTCACTCACCCACCCACCCGCCCACCCATTCACTCACCCACCCATTTCTGGGCTGCCAACGTGGCTCATTAATATTTGTTTAGTTTCAGTCTCGCACGCATGATTTTCCTTAAGCTCACAGCCCCAATTACGAAATGCAAACTTTAAGCGGCAGCAGCGGCAGAGGAGGAGAAGGAGGAGGAGCTGCCCTCGTGAGCCGGGGTGAGCGGTGGTGGCTGGCATTTTAAAGTCGCTGGAAGCGGCTGGAAGCGGCCGTGCGCTGCGCCTGAGGCCACGAGTCCGTCTCATTCGCTTCACCGGAAGCTCGGTCTGCGCCCTCCACGTTGGGATTTCTCGGCTTACCTCAGAATGGGCAGCACGTCCCAGACTCGGGACGGCACCCGCCCATCGCCGGGCCTCTACCGTGACTCTTAGAGAAAACGGGCGGCCGCGTCGAGGAGCCTCGCGAACTGAACGCGCGGATGTCGGCAAAAACCCGGCACTGTCCCAGCATGGCACCCATGCAGGACCACGCCTCGCGCCCCAGGCTCGAGCGTGGCAAAGCACCGGAGGGTGCGGTGTGCGCATTCCTGAGCGAGTGTGCGAGTATGAGTGATTGAACGAGTGTGTGAGTGATTGAACGAATATGAGTGTGAGTGAGCAAGTGTGAGCACGTGTGAGCGATTGAGCGAATGTGAGCATGTGAGTAAGCAAGTGTGAGAGTGTGAGCGAATGTGTGAGAGTGTGAGCGAGTGTGAGAGAGTGTGAGCGAGTGTGAGTGAGTGAATTACGCTCTGTATACGCACGCAGTGAAGGCTGCGATTGGGAGCAGCTGTGAAAGTGTTTGGATTACCTGCGACCGCACGGGCGCATAGCTCCCCGAGTACCCGTAGCGAGCGGCAGCATGGGGACGACGCCACTACCGCTGCTGCTGCCGCTGATGCTGCGCAGGCAGCGCGAGACGCGTGGACGAGTGGTCGCTCGTGGCCTCGTCGCAGCGGCCTCCTCTGTCAGCGGCTCGCTTGCGATGGCCGACTGGAGTCTCGTCTTGAACGCTTGAAAGGGGCACCCCCTGTAGCAGCCGTCCCTGTGGGGCATATCACGACTCGGCACCTGGCCTGCAAGTGGCCGTTTGTCTGGCAGTAGGAGGACGATGTTCGCTGTGTGCAGTGGTTGTGTCCCCTGATGTGTGCTTCTGTCTGTGCATGTGCACCATTGTGCGTGTGTCTATGGGGAGCGGCGGCACGTGGTGGTTAGCACACTTCCCCACGAACCCAATGACCCGAGTTTGAGTCCCGCTCACGGCCAACGGTAACATATGTGAACTGGTCCTGGGCCTCGTCTAGGTCAACTCGGTCTCAAATGAGTACCTGTTGCGGTCTGTAAATATCAGCACCAGCGAGACGCAGTTCATGGGCCAGGCGTGGTGCTGACCACCCACCCACTCATGTGCCTTTCCGGCAGTAGTAGATGTTCGCTAACAGCACTTGCCCCAACAGTCCGATCAGGGTACACGGGGGCCCCCGTTTGTCTCTGTTGCCGCCTGCAGGTCGGTGCAGATGCGCCTCTACACCATGTCCAAGCGCCACTTTGTGCTGGTGTTCGCCACCTTCTTCGCCTGCTTCGGGCTCACGCTGCTCATCGGTGTGGCCGGTAGGTAGCGCCCCCCCCATACTCCGTCGTTGTTCCCCCCTCTCCCCCCCCCCTCGCTCCCCGTGTGAATGCGACTGGAGGTCGCAGGGGACGGTCGCAGGGGGAGGTCCCGGGGAGCCAGGATACGGCTCCATGGTATAATAAAAGCGGACTGCGACAGGAATCCCAGATCTTGCCGTATGGCAAGCGATATTCGATCCGAATATCGCTTGCCAAGTAATCGATTGCCAATGAATTGCAATAAATTGACATTTTCAAGATGGCTACCCGATCAACTGTGAGCTGGGTGCCGGATTGACTGAGCTGAATAGATACAAATAAACCCTCGATTCATGAGCCACAATGACCACGCCCCCTTCGGCCAACACTACGCCCACTTTCTTCCATACTAGTTGGCCAAAATCTTTTATCGGTGATTTCGTCGGGTGTCCGATTTCATCACTATATTACAGCGCCCCTCCCCCGCGTGGCCACCAAATGGAAGCCACCCCCGTGGTCCACAGCACGACGCCGGAGGCCCGAGGTGTGATGGAACGGGCATGGTCGAAGCGTCAGTTGAACCCGGCATTTGAGCTGGTGATTGCGAGGTTTTCGCACCGAGGAAGCGCTTTGACCCTTGACGGCACGCCGCTACGCTTTTAGCAATGATGATGGCAACCTGTAACGTGCCGTCAACACAGGAGGAACCACGGACCAGCAGGAAGCCGTGATGTAGGGAACTCAGTGGTGGCAGTTGTGGTGGTGGTGCAATCACTGGTTTTGTTGTAGGCCCGAGCGTCATCAACGCAACTGTGGAGCAGGCCACGCATCTCTCCATGAAGCCCCCGGACTTGAAGGTGACTCCACTTGACGTGCGCTGCACCACACGTGCTTGCGGTGTGACCTTGATGGTGGTTTTATGACGGCGGTGTGACATCGGTGGTGGCGGTGTGATGGTGGTAGCGGTGGCGTGATGGTGGTGGTGTGATGTCATTGGCAGTGTGACGGTGGTGGTGTGATGGTGGTAGCCGTGGTGTGATGGTGGGGATGTGACAGTGGTAGCGGTGGTGTGACAGTGGTGGTGATGTAACGGTGATGGCGGTGGTGTGACGGTGGTAGCGGTGATGTGATAGCGGTGGTGTGACGGTAGTAGCGGCGGTGAGACAGTGGTGGTTATGTGACAGTGACGGTGGTGGTGACGGCGGTTTGACGTTGCCCTCCCGTGTCCAGGTGGGTCCCTTCCAGCTGACGTCGCCGACCCTTTCCACCTTCAACCAGCAGCTGTGGCTCATGTGCGAGATCGAACTGGCGGAGCGCAGCAACGGTACGGCCCACGGCGTCCCGCGGATCCGCGGTAGCACAGATGGCAACAGCTGCCCTGCCATTTGGATTCGGCGCCAAATGCCAATTTACTTGCCCAGGCAGTCCTCGCTGAGGCTCAAAACTCCTGTTCGGGAGGAGGCGCTTTCATTGGCGCGCTTGGTTCCATTCACTGTTTGGGCGACGCGGCCCAGCCCATGGCTCATTCGCCGCTCGTTGGTCGAGGATAGCCATTCGAAATCCACCAGGCCGCCCGCCATGGTTATTACTGCAGCAGTGTGGTCTCCTGTGTGGGGACCGAGCGCCGTCTGCTTCACGGTGGACGTTAAAAGGGATCCCGCGGCGCTATTGGAAGCGAAGGAGTAAGCCATTGCTGTGTCGCCGGCGTCACGGTCCGCGTTTTGCCGAATACAGAAAATTACACCTTAGATTGGTCAGTTGGATTTACACACGGCTACACATGGCAAAATCGCGCCTGACTGTGAAGCTACTGCCAGAACCTAGCAGCGTCGTGCCACGTCCACACCTTGCGCTATCGGGATGACAGCGCTAATAGCACTTGTGGTCTGCGATTGTGGTCTGTGAGTGTTGAGAGGAGCGAGAGTGTGGGCGGCCCTCGTGGCCCGGTTGCTCACGGCATGGTGCGTGCATCTCTGCGCCCATCTTCCGTCCCTCTCGCCTCGTCGCCATCTCTCCTCGCCGCACCCCAGGCGCCTTTGAGCAGAACTTCAACCTCTCGGTGGCCATCACGGGCCGGGAGCGTGACGCCAGCATGGTCATGGTGAACACCGTCTCCTACAACCGCAGCCGCTGCTTGCGCTGCTCCCAGGTAAAGCGGTCCGCCCCACCCCCCTCACCAACTGCACCACGCGGAGCTTCGCCAGGCAGACCACGGCGGAGGCCGTGTTACACCGCGCGGCCTAACGTGGCTCGACGCGGCCTCCGGAGAACGTGCCCGTAACGCCACGTGCGTCTCTACGGAAATGGCGACTCGTCCGGCGCGACCGTCTCTCTGGTCACGCGCGGAGAGCAGGACGAGCCCGGCAGCGCGAGGCTGCTGCTGCTGCCCGGAAAACGACGATGATTTGTGACCGAGTTGTTTGTGCGCTGGTCTGGGTGCGACGTTCACTACGCGAGTGCGCATGGCATAAGTTGCGCGTCTTGGGTGCGTGCGTCGTTGTCGCGTGTTTGTTTCTGCACATGCGTGCGTGTGTGTATGTGTGCGCGTCACTCAACGCCATTGCACGCGGGACGCTCTGTCCCGAGGGATTCTCCAGGTGAAACATCCCAATAAATACAAAATATATACATCCCATTATCAGCCCGTAGGCGAATAATGAGATCTCCCATAAGTCCGTTCAGGGGAGCGTATAATAGAGTGTGTGTTGTATCTATGTTATGCGTATTGTATTCGCGTGGCCGCAGCAGAAATGCGACGAGATCATCGTACTGCACCTGGGCTTCCTGGACTACACCAAGTACCTGGTGCGAGTGCAGTTCCAGGGCCTGGAGCAGATTGTGCACCTCATCCAAGAGGTCAACTTCACGGTACGACGGGCCTTGTGGTGGAAATGACGGGCCCCGTGGTCGGTACAACTGGCCACAGCCGGTGCCATGAGGTCGTGGGAACTAGCGTATATGTTTGGCCGGATAGAGGGGGCTAAACAGACATTACTTGGACTGGAAAAGAGATGAACTGATGCTGTATGGGAGGATGTGGAGCTGAATGGACTTGCCGAAGACTGGTACCAGCGGTGTCAAGATCGGCCTCGATGGAGGAGGCTCGTGAAGGACGCTACTGGGCAGTTGGAGGCCATCGCCCTCCAGCAACAACGGAGGGCAGAGGAGCGACGCTCACGACGAGCGGAGCGTCGGTTGGCTAAAAGGCAGTAAGTTGGCACAGTAGGGTGCACAGCTGGTGCATCTACCAGCCATCTCAATCAACCCATGGCTCCTGGGTCTGTCCCATGACCTCCTGTCAGCGAGCCTTCGACACTTCACTTGGGCTCAAAGCACACCTGGCCTGGCATAAATCAACATGAGCATAAAAGTAGGGCGGTGTTGCAGCCCAGCGGTTCTGTTGCAGAATTTTGCGGTTCAAATATCTGGAAAGCTGCCTTGGTTAATACCGCCGTGTGCGTATTAACCACATCCACACAATGCGCCATCTGTTTCACGGACATTAAAGATCTCGTGACTTCATTCAAAACAATGAGGCTGTCAGTGTTTACCATGCTGGCTCCACGGTGCGAATTTACCGACATGCCAAAAATTACACCGCAAAACGACACAACTGGGATCGTGCGCAGCAGCAGTCGTCGCCCCCAACTGGCAGACCGAAGGCCGTCGCCGAGTCGCCTTGCGCTACACCGGGACAGCTGCCACTTGGGGGCGCCCTTCGAACGTTCGTGATGAGATGTTCAGGCGCTTTGAGTTGCCGCGGCGTTTAAGCGAGCGGCGCGATATGAATGCAAAGAAGATGGCGATGATCTTCACAATTTGTTTTCTGGCGGCCGACGCTAAGCCCCTGGCTTGTGCAGCGTTCCACGCCACTGACTCCGCTCGGGAGCGGTGGGGCTTACTGTGCACGTGCGCGTGTGTGCGTGTGTGAGAGGCACGCATCACTGTTTGCGTTGCAGATTAAGGGAATTAATGTGGACGCCTTTACAAATGTGGGCAGCAGGGTGGCAGCCCATGGTTGATGCTCGCGCCGCACAGCGAGAAGCGACCGGGTTCGATTCCCGACTCGGGCACCTTCCTGCGTGTGTGGAGTCTCTGTGTGTTCTTTCTCTCTCTCTCCCCCTGTTCTCCGTGTGTTTCCTCTGGGTTCTCCAGTTTGCTCCCATAGCTTAAAAAAAATATAGTGTAATCGGTATTGGGGCAAAACATTCCTAATGCTGAAACATGACCTGCAAATTACACCATTGGGATCACACAGCAACAACATTTGGCAGGACCCTCCTAAAAAAGAGTCTTGAGACTCGGTGAGACTTTTTGGGTGAACCAGCGCACCAACAATAACAATCAAGCATCGCAGTGGCAACATGTTAACTTCCTTGCCCGGTATGCATGATGTCGTGGGTTTGATCCCGACCCCGACGCCTCTATATTTGGAGTTTGCGTGTCTCTCTCTTCCCCATGGTGTTTTGGCTTTTTCTCCGGGTCCTCCGGTTTTTCTCTCCACATTTAGAAGCAACGTCGCGCGTTTAAAGTATTTGGCTGCTGTACATTTTCACACGATAAGTCACTTCGTTGGGCTATCAGTTGTGGCCAGGTCACTTCTGAAAAAGAGCTCTATAGCTTAGTGGGTCTTACTTGTTCAAATAATAATACTTAAATATTATTGTCTTACGGCGACGTGGCTCACACCGCTTGCGACGGCGCCTGCCCTCCTCTCCCCACAGTTCAAGGTGTACAACGCGGCCTTCACGCAGGTGGAGATCTGGTTCCGCTTCGTCTTCCTGCTGCTCACCTTCCTCGTTACGGTCAGTGCCAGCCCGTGGCACGTTGGCGAGGTAGTGGTGGGAGGCGTGGGTGGGGGGCGGCCGCCCACGAGGATTATTGTAATCGCTTGGCTCATGAAACAGCTGGGACTCGACGAGACGGGATTAGCAGTTGTCCAGTCGGGGTAATAACTCTGATTGCGTTTAAATGGCAGTGGTTGCTTAGTGTTGGCGTGTGCTGCAGCATGAGCTGCTGTGTCCATGTGTGCTGCTGCATGTGCCGTGCGTGTTTGTGCTGCTGTGCCTGTGTGTGCTGCTGTGCGTGTACTGCTTTGTCTGTGTTGCTGCTGTGCGTGTGTGCTGCTGCTGTGCGTGTGTGCTGCTGCTGTGCGTGTGTGCTGCTGCTGTGCCTGTGTGTGCTGCTGTGCGTGTGTGCTGCTGCTGTGCGTGTGTGCTGCTGCTGTGCGTGTGTGCTGCTGCTGTGCGTGTGTGCTGCTATACGTGTGTGCTGCTGCGCACGTACCGAAACACGCGTACCGCCCCGTGTTGCTGCGCAGTGCCTCTTCGCTCACTCCCTGCGCAAGTTCTCCATGCGGGACTGGGCCATCGAGCAGAAGTGGATGGCCATTCTGCTTCCCCTGCTGCTGCTCTACAACGGTGGGAAGCCAGGGCGCTCGCCCCGGACCGCCACCACCCCTCCACTCGTTAACCGCTCCGCCCCCCTCCCCCAGTTTTTGCGTTAATCGTCGGCGTGCGGCACCCGGCCATAAATCCCTAAAGCGCGGAGCCCGGAACGTCGCAGAGAGGCGATTTCTCCGACCTTTCTCGCCGATGCCGGCCTTGGTTTCTTCCGGCCGCGGCTACGCCGATGCGACGGCAAGTCTCTGGCTCGTGGGAGGGCACCTAGATTGCTCGTTCACACTCACGAGAGCCTCGCCGAGTCTCGAGACTGCGTACGCTGCTGTTTTTAAAGAAACTGCCGTGTGGCGTCCCAATCGAGCAATTTGCAGGTAATCTTTCAGCATTAGGATGTTTCGTCCAATGCGAATTGCTTATTTATTTAGCCACGGTTAGGAAGCCTGAGAACCCGGAAGAAGCCCATGCGGAACATACAGGCTCTACGCAGATAAGTCGGGAATCGAACCCCCGGGCACTTCTCGCTGTGGGTTGCGAGCCTGACTTCTGCGCTGCCACCCTGCCGCTCAAAGGCTCAGGCATGCCGTATGTGGATGTGATGAGATGGGATTACCGGATAACGGTGTTGGGTATGACGTGTCTGCGGCGTGTGTGGGCGTGCGAGCAGACCCCATCTTCCCGCTGTCGTTCCTCGTCAACTCGTGGGTGCCGGGCCTGCTGGACGCCATCTTCCAGGCCTCCTTTCTCAGCGCCCTGCTGCTGTTTTGGCTCTGCGTCTACCATGGCATCCGTACGCAGGTAACGCACCGACCCGCACCGACCTGCACGCAGGTACCACACCCACCCACACTCACTGGCACAAAACCACACGCAGGTACCGCACCGACCCGCACTGTGTGTGTAGAGCTGTTGTTGTGTTTTGCTCTCAGTCCAATCGCAGGTTCTTCACTTTTTACCTGCCCAAGCTGCTCATCGTGGGGCTGCTCTGGGTCGCGGCCGTCACTCTTGGAATCTGGCAGACGTAAGCAGCGCCGGCTACAGCGCCCCCCCACCGCGTCCTGCCAGTGCCCCGGCCTCTCATAGCGGGCGCTGCTGCCAGCATCGCAGAGGGCGTCGCACGCGATTAGCTCCTCACAGCACATTTCAGCCAATTGAATGGTCAACCCCGGTGGTATCTGGCCTGCAAACCAGATTTTGTTTTCTGCCAGTGAAGGTCGATGTCGTTTCTGTGTGTCCGTAATCCCAATCGGAGCGCTTTGAGATGTAATTTTTCTAATTTGGCAAAATTTGGACCGTGACGCCGGCACATGTGGCCTCCTTAATGGCAGCTGTGAAACAGAGGGCGCCTAGAATTTTGTGGCTGATGCGGCGTCATTAACTGGTGGCGGTTTGCCGGATTGGATCCACGAACCGCTGCAATGAGCGGCGTCGCGCCACCGACCCGGATCCGTGCCAGAACAGCGGCTTCCCGGAAACGTCCGGACGCCAGCACAGCCAGGCAGAGCGACGACGCCCGTCGCGGGCGCCGCCGGCCGGCCCGGCAGCGCGAAAGGCGGCGTAACCGACGTGGCGGAGTCACGTGGCACCCCCCACCCCTCCCCCCACCTCCCGCTGCACACCATGTGACATCGCCGTGCCTGCTCCTCTCTTCATGCAGGATGAACGAGCTGCAGGACCCGACATTCCAGTACCGCGTCGACACGGGGAACTTCGAGGTATCGTACCGAATGCGCCGCGTTCCAGTGACGTGGTGAAGTACGGTCAACAACCCCCCCCCCGCCCCCCCCCACCCCCCCACCCCCCCGTCCCTCCCTCCCGCCCCTCCCGCCCCTCCGCCGCGTGACCATCCCCCGACACAATGCGAGGAAGCCTTCATGCATCAGCGGTTTGACAAAGGGCTGCGAACTACGCATTCTTATATATTTACATATTTCCAAATTATATTTCAGAATATAATCCTGAACCGCGCTTCTTTCAACAAACAGCTTTTTTCGCAACGTTCTCCTGGCGCAGGGCCATTGTCGTTGTACAGGAGGCCGCCGCAGTATTTCACGGCCGTTAGTCTGTTGTTGTTTTACAGTAGGGGGCCCGTTGCCACTTTGTGGTTCCAATTCAGCAGACTTCCCTGATTGATACTGCCGGCGGGTGTACGGACTGTAAAAACACTCCATGCCGTCCGCTTCGGTTGTTGAAACACTTTAGCGAGCGTCATGTGAACCTAATGATGCATGGAGACGCTGCTGCTGCTGCTGGAGAGCCATGATTGTGATGGTTCGCACTGCCGCCTCGCAGGGTATGAAGATCTTCTTCTTTGTTGTGGGCGCCATGTACATCCTCTACCTCGTCTTCCTCATCGTGCGCGCCTGCACTGAGCTGCGCAACATGCCCTACTTCGGTGCGTCACTCGCCCTCCCTCCCTCGCTCCCTCACTCCCTCACACTCTCCCTCCCTCGCTCGCTCTCTCCCTCACACTCGCCCTCCCTCCCTCGCTCCCTCACTCCCTCACACTCTCCCTCCCTCGCTCCCTCACTCCCTCATACTCTCCCTCCCTCGCTCCCTCACTCCCTCACACTCGCCCTCCCTCCCTCTCTCCCTCGCTCCCTCCCTCCCTCTCTCCCTCGCTCCCTCCCTCGCTCGCTCGCTCGCTTGCCCGCTCACTCACTCACTCCCTCACACTCGCCCTCCCTCGCTCCCTCCCTCCCTTTCTCCCTCGCTCCCTCCCTCACTCCCTCACACTCGCCCTCCCTCCCTCACTCCCTCACTCCCTCACTCCCTCACACTCGCCCTCCCTCGCTCGCTCGCTCCCTCACACTCTCCCTCCCTCCCTCCCTCTCTCCCTCGCTCCCTCCCTCGCTCGCTCGCTTGCTCGCTCACTCCCTCACACCCTCCTTCCCTCGCTCTCTTCCTCACTCCCTCACTGCCTCGCTCGCTCGGTCCCTCCCTCCCTCGCATCCTTCCTCTCACTCTCCCTCGCTCCCTCCCTCGCTCCCTTCCCCGCTCTGTTCCCTCCCTCCCTCGCTCCGCTCCCTCCAGCTCCCTTATCAGTAGCTAAATATCAGCATTGGGGAGACAAAGGCAGCCGGTCCTGGCCAAACTTTTGCCTCATGCGTGTGTTTGTTTGTAAATATGTGGGTGTGTGTGTACGTACATGCGTGTACATGAGTCAGACGCCTTGTATAACCTTCTGTTCCAGGTGCAAGCTAAAGTGGCCCCTTGGGATCGAGTCATCCTGTTGGGTGACTTTAATGCTAGAGTGGGTAATGACGCAGACACTTGTAAGATGCGCCTACCATTCTTCCATTCCAATGGTGGGTGTCCATCGAAGACCTCATTCAAACCCACAGCAACCTGGCCTCGGCTAGCTGAGGATAGTTGCAAGCAGGAGTTTAAAAATCGCTTGCAGTTGGGGTTGGCATCGTCCCCACATCCTGATGCTGAGGAGAAATGGGTGAGGTTCAGGACTGTGGCTCATGCAACTGCAATTGCTGCATTGAGTGTGTGGTCCAGACCTCCCCAGATACTCTGGCTGAAAGAGGAGGTGTTCCAACGAAGAATTAGGTTAGCCAGAGTCTTCCTCGGAGGTTCGGAGAGCCGTGTGGCGCCTTACTGCCATGAGTGGCATGGGCGTGGGTTGCTGAGCAGATGGAATCTGCCTCAGTAGCCCACGATCACATGTCACTTATTCCATCTCAGAAGTAACTTGCAGCACCTCATCTATCACCATCAAGGTAAAGAACGGTGATCCGATCTCCAACACTCAGGAACTGGTCTACAGATTTGCAGAGCATTTCTATGAGGTATTGGGTGAAGGGAAATCCTGTAGCCCAGAACAATATCATGGACAAGGTGGGGATGATCCTGCTGGGGCTGCCGTGCCTCAAATATTGGCAGAAGTATATACCCCTTCTGAGTAGTTGGCTGAGGTGCCATCTGTGGAGGTAGTGTGAGGGGCATTCCGGAGTCGAAACCAGGAAAAGTGCCGGGTAGAGTTGTTCTCTGAAGTGAAATGCTGAGGGAGGGGGTGGTGTCTGTGTGCAGACTGCCCTACATGACATCATCACAACTGTCTGGAGCACAGGACAGGTTCCGCAGGATTGGAAGGATGTCATGGTAGTCCCCCTCTTTTAAGAAGGGGGACCGAATAGATTGTAATAGCTACAGGAGGATATCTCTTCTCAGTGTGCCGGGAAAGGTCCTGGCAAGGATTATTCAACATCGCCTTGCCAGGCACACTGAGGAGAGGCTTGCAGAGCCTCAATGTGGTTTCAGACCAAGGCGGTCTGCACGGATGCTATATTTTCTGTCCGGCTGCTGCAGCAGAGGCATAGAGAATTTCAATGTGGTTTCAGACCAAGGCGGTCTGCACGGATGCTATATTTTCTGTCCGTCTGCTGCAGCAGAGGTATAGAGAATTTCAAAAAGACCTACATCTCTGCTTTATTGACCTGGTCAAGGCCTTTCAGATTCCCTGGCTCTCTGCTCACAATCATTAAAGGCCTTCATGATGGTAGGCAGGCCCGGTTAAAGCTAAATGGCCAGGAGTCAGAGCCATTCCCTGTACACCTTGCAGTGCGACAGGGATGTCCTCTGGCTCCCATATTTCATATCATCTTTGACCACGTAGTTCAAGAAGCTTTCCATGGCTGTACCGGAGGAATTTCCATTTGGTACAGATAGAATGGGAGGCTGATTGATGCCCAGGTGCGGTCAAGGGATGGCTGCCTATTGCTCAACCAAGATATGTATGCTAATGATCTGATGATTGCTGCTCACTCAGAGGAAGAGTTTGAGGTGCTGCTGCTGAAACTGGAGCATGCCACCAAAACTAAGAACCTGCTTGGGTATTTTGTTTGTTGTCCTTCCCCTGCACCTCCGATTAGCACAGTTGGCCACGTACGGTACGAAAGAAGTTCTACATGCATTCATACAGACCCCCATTGGTAATGGAGCAGTTGTGAAGAGAGTGGAGAGTTTTACATACCTGGGCAGTGTGCTTATAACCAGCTCCTGTTTGACAGCAAAGGTCTCACTCCGAATCATTCGGGCAGCATTATCTTTTCATCGGCTGGGTAATGCTGTGTTGAAGCTACATGGTCTGTTGCTCCAACACGAAGCTTCGGGTCTTCGCAACCACAGTCATGCCCTCCCTTCTATATGTTTACGAAACCTGAACCTCTCTAATGGAACATCTGTGCTGGTTAGAATCATTCAGGCTGGCGTACCTACGATCCATCCTGAGTTTAAGCAGATCTGGACACATTTCCATCAGTTAAGTTCTCCGGCAGGTAGGGGTGCGTTGGCTGGGTCATTTAGCCCGCATGCCCAGCCACTGCATTCCCATGCAGCTTCTTTTTGGCCGTATAGCGGGGACTAAACGGGCATGACACAGGCCTGAAAATAGATGGAGTGATGCGGTGCAGGAAGATGTAGAGCTGAGTGGACTTGCCGAAGACTAGTACCAGCGGTGTCAAGATCGCCATCTACGGAGCAGGCTCGTGAAAGACGCAACTCGGCAGTTGGAGGCAGTTGCGATGCTCACAACAACGGGCGGAGCATCGGGTGGCTAAAATGCAGCAAGTTGGCACAGTAGGGGCACAGCTGGTGCATCATCTGCCAGTCATCTCAGTCAACCCATGGCACCTGGGTCTGTCTCGTGACCTCCTGTCAGTGACACTTCACGTGGCCTCAAACGTGCACTTTGCCTGGCACAGGCGCCATGGTGACGTCACTGTCACTTAGTGGTGAATGGCGTCTGTTGTATAAAAACATATATGGATGAGTGGAGAGTGGTAGTATAGCAGTTAGCGCACTGTGCTACAGACCCAGCAACACAAGTTGGATTCCCACTCACGGTCAACACCAGTGACGAATATATGAACCGGTCCTGGGCCACCCTTAGGTCGACTCAGCCTTAATTGAATATCTGGTGTGGTGAGTAAACATCACCACTGGTGAGACAAAGGCGGTAAGGTGTGGTGCTGGCTACCACTCCTTTGTGTACTGTGCCGGCTTTTGTAGGTGCTCGATAACACCACTTGCCCCAACAATCTGTTCAAGCTATACGGGGGATCTTTGTGTTTGTCCACGTATGTCTGTGGCAATGTGTTTATGCGTGCGTCCGTACGTGTCTCCCCTAGACCTGCGGCTCAAGTTCCTCACGGTGCTCACGCTGATGGTGCTCGTGATCAGGTAAAGCCGGGCAGTGCCGGCTCGCCGCTCAGACCCCGCGGCGTGTGTGCGTGCGTGCAGTGTATCAGAATATTTTTTTCCTGGAAGAATCGGATGAGCTTGTAAAGCTCTTTTTTCACAAATGTCCACCCCTTATCCTCTGTTCGTGTCTCGCAGCATCACCATCTTGTTCCTGAGGTTCGGATCTCAAGTTCTGCAGGACAACTTCATCTCCCAGCTGTCCACCCACTACCAGAACTATATCCTCCAGCCTGGCGGCCCTGAAGCTGCCTCGGTGGTAGGGCAGCAGTCAGCAGCTCGGCGGACGTGGTCAGGCCGCACCATCGCTGCTGAGCCACCGCTCCGCGCAGCTGCAAAGGGAACTCGGGCGCTTCAAAATAACCGGTTATACAACCCAGTTAACGTTCTTTTCGCACACAGAGGAATATCTCACACTAAACATTACGTGTCTGCTGCTGCCACCACCGATGGTGGTGTTGTGACGGTCAGCAGCGCGCTTGACTCGCTGTGCGGAGGTCGCCGGTTCGTCTTCCCGGCACGACGGTGCAGGTTTCTCCGATCCCCCACGTTCACGGCTGCTGTACGCGCAGTAGCAGCGGCGGCGGCGAACGTGGGTTCGTCGCAGCGAGTCCCTTGACGGGTCGCCTCGTGGCAACGGCAAGGCCGCACTCCGACCTCTTCATTTCACGACCGCGGAGCATCACGTGGTCGGGGGCCCACGCGGACGCCGAGTGCGGCGCTCGTTCCTTGACGGTCCCCTGGCACCGGGGAGCCTCCTCTGTCCCCTGGTGGGGACGTGAGCCCTCGCCAGTGCTCCATAGTAGGCCCGCCCCAGCCTTAACGATGACAGCGGCGAGGTGCGTTGGGCTACGCCGCCTTTTGTATACGTGTTGCGGAGCGCTTTGCACGCGATGAGCTACTCGCGAATCCTCGCGTCTCAACGCATTTAAACGGGGGGGGGGGGCACCCCCAGTGGCAGCTGACCACTGCGTGGCACGCGGTGACTCGGCAGCCCGCGAGCGAGCGAGTGTTAGTCTGCCGTGCGCAATCCCAACCAAGCATCGCGGGGACCCACCGGCGTTTGTTGCGGTGAAAATCTCACCGTGAGCAGCGTCCCCGTGTGAACCGCTGCGGTATGAAAGGTGCAGGGGAAGTTTATCCCGGAAGGGGGCGCCGCTTGCGTCGTGGAATTGATGGCTCTCGTAAACCGCGCGACGTCACGGCGCTTTGATTTATGACTCGGCGCTAGGCAAGGTCGCGGCTCCGCGTGCGATTGCTCCCTGACTCCCCGCCTCACCGGCCGAGTTCCTCTCCTTCTACGGGCTTCTCAACTTCTACCTCTACACGCTGGCGTTCGTCTACTCGCCCTCCAAGAACGCGGTCTACGGTAAACACCGCACGCTGGTGCCATCGCCGCCGCTATGCCGGTGCCTCGATGCTCATTTTGAGCCGGAACTCGCTCCCCACTTTGCTTACTTGACTTTTACGGACGTTTGGTCCAACGAGCGAGCGTAAAATGCTGCGGCAGAATGATAACGATAATATTGATAATTTAGCTCGCATGGTTGTTGGCCGCCATCCGTTCTCGTGGCACGGTGTTTCACAGACGCAACATGTGGTGGTGGAGCGGCGGGGGGTGGAGCGGGGGCGGGAGGCGACGTTGCCGTTGCATGCGATGCCGATTGCCTCGTTTTGTGGTGTAAATTTTTAAATCGCGAGTTTGGATCGCGTGACGCCGGGCACACCGACGGCCGCCCATGCGAGCGAAGCAGAAAGCACGCGTAGTGTAATTGCGGTTCATACATACCGCAGCATTAACCAGGGCGGCCTGCCAGATTCGAACCATGAAACCATGCACAGTGGCCACGCGCAGGGCTGGGGAGTGGGCGGGCGGGCTAGCGAGCGAGCGAGCGAGTCCCTGCCCCGTGCTTACCCGAGGGGGGTGCGACGTGTGCATGTCTCTGTGCCGCAGAGTCCCAGCTCAAAGACAACCCCACATTCTCCATGCTCAACGACTCGGACGACGACGTCATATACGGGTGAGAGATACGCAGCCACCCGGCGCGCCGAACCTTCACCCTGAGCAGAGATTCGACGCCTCTCATGTCGTGACATGACACGCACGCTCACGGCCAACACCAGTGACGATTATCGGAACCTATCCTGGGCCTCCCCTATGTCAACTCACACACACGTATGAGTACCTGGTGTGGTCTGTAAAATAATTGTCATTGGGGAGACAACGGCGGCCGGGCATGGTGCTGGCCACTCACCCTCTCGTGTGCCGTGCCGGTTTTCATAGGTGTTCCCTAACAGTACTTGCTCCTACAGTCTGTTAAGGCTATACGGGGGATCTTTCTCTTTCATGACATGTAACGTGTATGTGTGTGCACCGTAGTCCCATGTGTGACTTTGGTAGTGACATGTTTATTTCATGCGTCTCCGGTGACATGTAACACGTGGTAGCATGTATGTGCAATGGTAACAGCACCTACACACATAACGTGTGTCTGTGTATCCGCATAAGCACAGGTTGTTCACGAACAACACTTTCCCCAACAGTTTGTTAAAAGCTACACGGTGGACCTTTGTCTTTGCCTTTATCGCACAGCACGGACCACGAGGAGCTGCCTCTGCAGAACGGCAGGTCCATGCGGACCTCATACCACGACGGTTCCGACTCGGACTAACCACCCCGCCACCCTCCCTCCGCCACTCCCCGCACCTCCGCCACCACCGCCACCACCACCACCGCACGAGGCCCTCTCCTCCTGGCCGTGGGCAGCGGCTCGCCCAACTGCCTGCCCAGCGACTCGGGGGGGGGGGGGATGAGAATCGGCCGAGCGCGGAGCCGGGGCTAGTCCTCGGGCCCGCAAAGCGTGGGGGCGGAGGCAGAGGGAGAGCGGGTTTGGGGGCGCAAGCACGTGCTGGCCCGAGACGTTGACGGTGCCGTGCTTGTGCCTTGGAACTTTTCCCTCTGGGCAGTCCCAACGCAAGTTCGCCCTCCCCCCCCTCCCCCGCAGGGCCACCGTGCGATTGCAAGGCGGCGGCGGCATCGGTGGTGTCGTGGGCAACGCAAAACGGAAGATGGGAGCGTGAATGTGAATTGAATCCGCCAGTACTTAGTGGGGATTTGTAACCGCACTTCGATTCCGTTGCTTTTGTCTTCTGGCAAACGCCACCCCCAGCGCGTCGTCCAACGCGGTCGCCCAAGGTGAGAACCGTAAGCAGCAATAACATAGCCAGGGACGTGACGTCAGAACACTGTTTGTTAGAATGAAACTGTTTCATAGCATACACCTAGATGGCGATCGCGGCTCATTCATTTTTTTCCCATTTTCATTGTTAACTTTCGTACAACACGTTTGTGGGTTAGAGGTTGCCAAGTGGCAGAATACACCGTGTGTGTGTGCATACACCATGTGTGTGTGTGCATACACAGTGTATCGTGTGTGTGTGTCCCGTTTGTGTACTGCGTGTGTGTGTATATCGGGTGTGTACCGTGTGTGTACCACGTGTGTGTGTGTACCGTGTGTGTGCGACTTACTGGGTTCCTCTTCAGCTCACCGGTGCGCGTAATGATAATAGGCGCACCGTTAAATGGTCGTACGCTACTTGACAATTTAATTTTGCGTCGGGTGGTGGAGGGTTCTTAACGAACACACATTTGGCCAGATCATGATATGGCCAAACACAAAAGTAAATTTGCTTCAGAATGAACCATGCGGCGACCATTGCTGTGGGGCATGGGGTGATCAGCTTGGATCTCGCGCTTGCACGTTGCTGTAGCTGTCCGCTTCATTTTATGTCGGCACGTTTGGGGTGGGGTGCCGTCATTCTCATTGCACGGGGCGGCCGTCACGCAGGCGAGGCACCACCGCTGCGTTTCGCCAACGCAGCCGCCCATGGTTTTGCGGTCGGGGTTGAAGGTTTGATGATCTTGTTACTCCGGAATCCCGAGCCAAGTGATTCGCGGGGCAATTGGTCAGTCAAATTTGAACCGGGATGCGCGGCCACACACAACGACGGCCGTCACGTCGGGAGAATTCTTCGACGTCCACCGAGAGTGACCATGAACGGCGCGTATTATTTCACGGTTGGCGCCGCCCTGCGGTGTTAACCAGCAGTGGCCTGCACTCAATGCGAACCGCATTGGGTGCAGGCGGGCGCGTCTCATTTCCGCTGTAGTAATCATAGTAGCAATGCACGGATTTATGCTGTGTGTGTCAAAACCACAGATATGCTCGTCGTGTGCAATTCAGCCTGGAGGCGATGGTGGTAGTTGGGGGGGGAAGCATTGGTAGCACGATGTCGTGGTGGTGGTGCTGTATATATGTATGTTGAACTTCTTTCACACCGTGCTTAGCCTACCCTACGAATTGGAGGTGTGTGGCGGCGGTGATGGTGGCATCACCGGCTTTTGGCCACCGATGACCTGAGGATCTCGCGCTCAGAGCCGGTTGGCAACGCTAGCATCCCCCCCCCCCCCGCATGCACGGCAACCCCTTGTTCATCCCCGCTAAATGAGACGGCACTGGGGCTGAGAGAACTGGGCACTTTGCTTTGAGGCTGGAGTGTAATTATATCTCTTGTAAATAATCTGTACATACAATTACAATTTATAGCCTAACCCCTCTCTTGTCTTAGCCATAATTGCAAGTTACTGTCTAAACAGATGCTACTTCCCAGACCACAGATGCGGTGTGGCAGGAATTTATTTGGAATATCTGATAACGGAGTGGTGTTCAACTTTACTCATGCAGCAATGGTCTGCACTGTTTCATACACCTTGGCCAATGAAGAAATACGCCTGGGGGAAAGGTGGGAATCCTCGTGTGGGTGGCTGGGTGATGAGGCTGGAGCCAGGCTGGGTGATGAGGCTGGAGCCAGGCTGGGTGATGAGGCTGGAGCCAGGCTGGGTGATGAGGCTGGAGCCAGGCTGGGTGATGAGGCTGGAGCCAGGCTGGGTGATGAGGCTGTAGCCAGGCTGGGCGAGGGATGATGGAGCTAGGGTGTAGCCATGCAGCCTGGGGACACGTGTAGTTAAATATAATTATATAGAATTTTCTCTAAACTCGACCAGAATCTTTCTCGACTCGCCGTGTCCCTGTCATGTATTGCCGTGTTTAGCAGAGTGGTACAATTACAATGCGTGGAGAGGGGGCGGTTTTGATTTAATAGCGACGGTGATGTGCGTGGTTATGAGTTAATGTATTTTAATCGCTAAAGGTGGCCAGAAAATCGATCCTCGGACACCGCGGTCCTGGCTGCTGACCCTTGGAACGGCGGCTTGACGCTTCCCGGTCCCCTTTCACGTTCCGAGGGTGGCCCTGCTGGGTGGCTTGGTTAGCGACGCTCGCACCTCGCAGCAACAAGCCCTGGGGTTGGGTTCCCTACTGGGGCGCGGTTCTTTGTGGAGTGAGTACGTTATGTGTGTATGTGTACCTTTGTGTGTGTCTACGGTCTGTGTGTGTACGTTCTGTGTCTGTGTGTACGTTCTGTGTGTATGTTTACATTCTGTGTGTGTGTCCCCTCTGTGTGTGTGTACCCTCCGTGTGTGTGTGTCATCTGTGTGTGTACGTTCCGTGTGTGTGTACTTTCTCCCACGTGGGTTTTCTCCGGTCTCTCTGGTTTCATCCCATGGTTATACAAACAAACAGACCGTACAATGTAACCGGTATTGGCCAAAACAACCCTATTGCTGAAAAATCACTGGCAGATTACACAGCATTTCTCCTGCAAACACAGCTCACTCTCAAACATCACTCTGCTCTTCTCATTTCCAAGACACCGCGAAGGCACCGAGGGGTGCAACAAAACCACGTTTGGGTAAACACGCACGGACGAGTCAGCGCCGGAGTGTCACCTCCATTCTCATGGCATCTATACCGTGCATCGTTAAAAACGGCTTCAACGTGTCAACACGAGGGCGGCAGGCACTTTGATTTCCCCCTCGTGGTTGTGAGCATGGCTCTTTGGGCCGTGTGGTTTCCCGCCGGCCCGCGTGTCGGTGTCCACGGCGTGCGTGGCTGTGGGGAGGGTTTCTGGGTCTTCGATGCGTTCCGTCTCCGCGCCGGGGGGGTCAGGGCGACGTCTTGACACCGTCCCCCAGCGTGGTTGTGTTTACGCTACTCGTGTGCAGGGTGCGCCGTGCCGTTGGGTGACGCGCCTTTCGTGTTCCGTAGGGGTGCAATTCTGTCGTCTTTCTGTTAGCGTCGTGGTGTTTGTGATAAAGGGATTCGGTTTCTCTATTGACCGCACCGCGTGTTCACTTTTTTTTTAATTCGCTGTCAAATTTTCCACTTCCGACTCGGGTTTGACGTGCGCCGGAGTGGCCGCGGGGGCCGCGGGGCCAACCGGGTCTACTTGGAAGACGGGAACCACGGAGATTACAGGAACCGCGGGGGCCGTGGGGACCACGGGGACTACTGGGACCGTGAGGTCCGTGGGGACCGCAGGGACTACGGGATCCACAGGGCCCACTGGGACAGGGGGGACCGCAGGGACTACGGGGTCCGGAGGGGGCCCACTGGGACCGGGGGGACCGCAGGGACTACGGGGTCCGGAGGGGGCCCACTGGGACCGCGGGGACCGCGGGGACTACGGGGTCCGGAGGGGGCCCACTGGGACCACGGGGACCGCAGGGACCACGGGGACTACGGAGACTACGGGGTCCGCTTCACACCGACTACTTGGTGCGGCCGGGGAGGTGACGGAGGCAGCGGCGCAGCGGCGACACCCAGCGTGCCTCACAGCAAGAAGTGCCTTGGTTCGATTCCTGACTCGGGCTTCTTCCTGAGTAGAGTGCGGCGGTGTGGGTGGCGTGGTGCTGGTCACCCACCCTCTCGTGTGCTCTGCGGGTCTTCATACAGTGAGGGAAAAAAGTATTTGATCTGCTGATTTTGTACGTTTGCCCACTGACAAAGAAATGTTCAGTCTATAATTTTAATGGTAGGTTTATTTTAACAGTGAGAGACAGAATAACAACAACAAAATCCAGAAAAACGCATGTCAAAAATGTTATAAATTGATTTGCATTTTAATGAGGGAAATAAGTATTTGACCCCCTCTCAATCAGAACGATTTCTGGCTCCCAGGTGTATTTTATACAGGTAACGAGCTGAGATTAGGAGCACACTCTTAAAGGGAGTGCTCCTAATCTCGGCTTATCACCTGTATAAAAGACACCTGTCCACAGAAGCAATCAATCAGATTCCAAACTCTCCACCATGGCCAAGACCAAAAAGCTCTCCAAGGATGTCAGGGACAAGATTGTAGACATACACAAGGCCGGAATGGGCTACAAAACCATTGGCAAGCAGTTTGGTGAGAAGGTGACAACAGTTGGTGCGATTATTCGCAAATGGAAGAAACAGAAGAACTGTCAATCTCCCTCGGCCTGGGGCTCCATGCAAGATCTCACCTCGTGGAGTTGCAATGATCATGAGAACGGTGAGGAATCAGCCCAGAACTACACGGGAGGAACTTGTCAATGATCTCAAGGCAGCTGGGACCATAGTCACCAAGAAAACAATTGGTAACACACTACACCGTGAAGGACATAAATCCTGCAGCGCCCGCAAGGCCCCCCTACTCAAAGCACATATACATGCCCGTCTGAAGTTTGCCAATGAACATCTGAATGATTCAGAGGACAACTGGGTGAAAGTGTTGTGGTCAGATGAGAACGAAATGGAGCTCTTTGGCATCAACTCAACTCGCCGTGTTTGGAGGAGGAATGCTGCCTATGACCCCAAGAACACCATCCCCACCGTCAAACATGGAGGTGGAAACATGCTTTGGGGGTGTTTTTCTGCTAAGGGGACAGGACAACTGCACCGCATGAAAGGGACGATGGACGGGGCCATGTACCGTCAAATATTGGGTGAGAACCTCCTTCTCTCAGCCAGGGCATTGAAAATGGGTCGTGGATGGGTATTCCAGCATGACAATGACCCAAAACACACGGCCAAGGCAACAAAGGAGTGGCTCAAGAAGAAGCACATTAAGGTCCTGGAGTGGCCTAGCCAGTCTCCAGACCTTGATCCCATAGAAAATCTGTGGAGGGAGCTGAAGGTTCGAGTTGCCAAACGTCAGCCTCGAAACCTTAATGACTTGGAGAAGATCTGCAAAGAGGAGTGCGACAAAATCCCTCCTGAGATGTGTGCAAACCTGTTGGCCAATTACAAGAAACGTCTGACCTCTGTGATTTCCAGCAAGGGTTTTGTTTTGCAGAGGGGTCAAATACTTATTTCCCTCATTAAAATGCAAATCAATTTATAACATTTTTGACATGCGTTTTTCTGGATTTTTTGTTGTTATTCTGTCTCTCACTGTTCAAATAAATGTACCATTAAAGTATAGACTGATCATTTATTTGTCAGTGGGCAAACGTACAAAATCAGCAGGGGATCAAATACTTTTTTCTTTCACTGTAGGTGCACACTAACAGGCTATAGGGGGGTATTTGCCTTTGTAATCCCATTTGAGTAATTTTCAGGTCATTTGTCACCCTTGGGATGTTTGACCAATACCAGTTACACTGTTTAGTTTAGCTATGGGAGGACACCAGCACACTCGGAGGAAACTGGTGCCGAACAGGGGACGATAACGTACCGACCTCTCAGTCGGGAATCGAACCGAGACCCCAGGTGTTGCGAGGCACCCGGGTTACAACTTGCGCTGCCCACTACCCTGCCGCTCGGCGTGAGCTGAGACGCGGGGTTGTGTTCATCCCCGCAGACGGGGAGGGGGGGTTGGAATGCTATCGTGGGTTGAATATCCACGTCGAGGGTTGAATCTTCCCGGGTTTCTGGCGATGTCTCGCGGCCCCCCAAGGGGAATTCCCTCATCGTGGCCCGGGAGCCGTCATTGTAGAGCACAAATTGCGAGAGGGATTCTCGCCTCGGTAGGGTTCCTCGGCCCCGCGGGAATTCCACGGGGTCCGAGACCTGGGACGTTCAGTGGCTGCGCGCGGTGTTTACAAAATAATCCCACGGGAGGTGGGGGGAGGGGCTCGCGCTGCGCTGAATCTTCGCACAAGGCGTCGGCTAGGCGGCCCTGGCGCCTCCTGGCGCTCACGAGGCTGGGCCCGCACCGCTGGGATCCACCGGCTCCGGCTTTCAGCCGCACCGACCGCACCAGAATTGTCACCAGGCCGAGGCGCGCACGTCTCCATGAATGTCATACTCGAGACAAAGTCCACAGTCAGTGCAATTGTGGCCGTGCAAACCAAAACTGTGGACTGTAAGCTTAATAGAGACACATATATACATAGAGACGCATAGAGATGCATAGAGACAGGTATAAACAGAGACAGATGCATTAAAGACGAGCCACTGGTGCCATTGTGGCCACAACCCGCACTACGGACCGCACAGTCAACCCACTGTGGTCTGTGCTCATTCAACGGAGAACAAGGAGCGGTGACACGAACTCTGTGCCGAAGCCCTCTAGTCGTGGCCAGCAGCAGCAGGGCATCGAACTCTTGAATGACATCGCTGCTGGCATCGTCCGGCGCAACAGAATGGCATCGCCTGCTCGCCATGAAACTGGATCCGCACGTGTGACTCGCGGATGTCGTCGGAGACGTGCGGTGGCCGCGCGCTGGAGGGATGATGGATGCGGTGGGTGGGTGGCGAGCGGCCTCCGGACGAGGCTGAGGGTTTGCGGCGCTCGGGGAATGCGTCGTGCCGCTGATGCACGCTGCGGCAGGACAATGGAGTGGAGGTGGGGGTCAGCCAGGGTCATCAGCGCCACCCACGCATAGACCCCCACCTCGCCCCGTCTCTCGGCAGACGGGGCACTCCGGACGGGGCCTTCAAGGTAGCTCCGTGCTCTGCACGTGGAGAGAAAGCGTTGAGACCCGAGCGCTTAAAGTGGATGGGTGATATTAAGCGAGAGCCGGCATAATTCCGTCTGCCGAGTGAGGAGCGGATGACTCATTTGACATTCTGAGTAGAGTGCGCGGGAGTGGGGACGGCGCGGTAATCGCGCGGTAATTGACAACGCACAGCACCGCTCCGCCCGTCACTCCGCGCTGCTGTTTGTGAGTCGCAACACCGAACGTGTCGCTGGCGGCTCCCGCGGGAGGTTCGATTCCTTACTTGCGTTGTTACCACGCAAGCTTCGCCGAGTCTCAGGACTCTTTGTGTTTGCAGGAGGGTCCTGCCAGGTTTTTTCTTTGTCGCAGCAGGAGTGCGATCCCAGTCGAGTAACTTGCCTTGTGAGTTCTCAAAATGTTTGGGGCCGTGACGCCGGCACTCGCTGCCTTGCTCGTTTGCCACGACGTCACGGGATCTTCCACGTCCCCACTGCGTGCGAGTGGAGGGGGCGGCACGCAATGTTTACCAGGGCGGCCGGCTGGATCCGAGCCGTCCCTGCTGCTGGAATGGACCGCACGTGGAGTGGGGCGCAGGTAACTTGCCTGTTACCTCGGACCGTGCTGGCAGCAACGAGGGTAGTTGGATCACACACGGACTGACGGACGTGAGACTCCCAAACCGTGGGTTGTCGAGGTTACCATCTCGGGGTCTCTGCGTCCAAGCCTCTTGTCAACGGCCCTGGAAACAACAGCAACGAGCTCAATGCTGCGTCACGAAACGATTCGCCCACTCCACGTATCCAAAATGTCTCCGAGCCGCCTATCCCGCTTGCCCCCCCCACTCGTCCGTGATTGGATCAATAATTTTTTTTTACAAAAATTATACAAAAAATTATCGGTTCCACAGTGCGGTGCTCGGTGTGAACCGCGTTGAACGGAGCAGGGTCGAGATAGCGGCCAACATGGGGGGGGGGGGAGGCGGGGAGCAGCTCCTTGTCGCTGAGCAGACGTCCCCGATGCAAGTTGACCACGGCAGTAGATGTTGGGGAGCGATAAGCAGGCAACTGGCCGAGCGGGTGACTGGAGCCAGCCGGTTGGCTCGTGGACAGTGTCGCGTTCACTGCAGGAGAGTCGCGTGGCCTCACCCGGCAAACACGAGGGGTGCCGCAGTCACCAGGATCTCGTCTCCCGCCTGTTTTACCCGGCGACGCCTCAAGCCGCGTCTCAAGACTTGCAGGAGGCTCCTCGGCGAGGATTGCCTGGAGCGAGGCCACACGGGGCAGCAGCTGCCTCACTCCACGTCGTCTTCCCAGCGTCGCCAGCACAGTCCCAGGCTGCGTACCCCGACTCCCTCCTTGCTGCCTCGGTGTCCCCTGCCACGCGGAGCCACGGGAGGTGGTGAGCCATGTGAGATAGCCAGGTCTCATTGCCA